TTTAAACCGAATTCATTATTTTATTGTATCTTAATTTTGCCTGCTGTTGTTGTGTTTCCTGAATGCTGGTTTAAAAGTAAAATGTCTGGTTGAGCTGCCCCCTGCTGGCGGAAAAACTCAGCACCAACCTTTGGAGAGTAATGTTGCCAAAAAAATAAATTAACAAATTACAGATTAACCAACCTAGTAGGTGAGTAAATTTTAACAGTTAGTACTCAGATAACATATGACTGAGATAGTAAATTTGTTCAGTCTACTGCATGATTTACAGAAAAACATTTGACAATTTGGGCAGATTAGCTTGGTGCTCATGGAAAAGCAAAAGCTATTATCGTTTCCAGATGCTAAAGGTAGTTTCAATGATGACTAGCAAGCTTCCATTGATGTGAAATCAGATGTCGTAGGTTTGTATCTTAAAAATTAAGATAACAGGAAAAGCCAGCTAAAATATAAGTATGGTGTCACTGAGTGTGACAAACCCACAAAGAATTATCAAACAACCTGGCAGACCTGCTGAGCTTTTAAGCCACAGATGATTGTCTTGGTTTTTACAGACCACAGATTTATTCTATGGTTCAGTGTTAACACAGTTGTGCACTGTTTTCAGCAGCAGCAAGCAAATGTATTCAGCAAAAAAGTTCAGGTAAACTGACTGTACACCTGCCCTGCCCCACACAGCAAACAATAACTAGCTTATGAAGAAAGCAAGCTAAACAGGAGTTGGTAGAGACCAAATCAGAGCTAAAATGTAAACATGTCTATTTTAACCTAAAACCATTAGCTATAATAATTTTATTAGGTGATAATATTTCAAAGTTGTATGTCTGTCAGCTTGTTGTGAATTCTTCTTCCCCCAGGTGGCCAGTAAAAAATCAGCTAATGCAGCTTTAAACAGATATTTTAAATTAACTTTGCTGCCAGTCAGTTATCTTAATTTAGTTGCTTAAACATGGTTAGATTGCCTGTTTTTTGCAACCATGACTAGCAGCCAGGATCTGCCTTATTTGTCCTTCTAACCAGCTACCAAATCAAATTTTGTGCCAGTTTTATTTTTACATTGGACACAATTATCTTTTAGGACTTGGATGACGTTTGAACTGGTTTCATTTAAGATTTATTTGTAAAGTGCTTCAAAACCTATTTATTCTCAGTCATTTTATTGGTGCTTCTTTGTCATGATTTGTTCCTATTGCTCACCAACATTTTTTTTGCTTGTATTATGCAACAAAAAAAGTTTATTTGCTTGCTCACTAAAATAACATGGACACTGTAAAAAAGGCTCATTATCTTGTATTCCATTATGTATTCATACCTCAAAATGATGGCAATCTGCAAAAGATGAATAAACTGAAAAGTAATTTTGTTAAAATCCATAAAACAACAATTTCTGAAGACACACATGGTGCCTGTTGCAGATAGGCATCATTTAGGGAAGAAAAAAACAAAAACAAAAACACATGCCAGTATTCTGTCAATTTCATTTACTCTTTTGGGGCAAAAAGTGAGGTATCTTATCCAGTCTGGTTATCAAATAGGCAGTTTTGTTAATGTCAAATGAGTGAGCTCATTGTGTAAAATTGTAAAACGAATGATCAGAGTCTACCAGTGACATAAAATTGCTTCAAATGTTGAGCTGTTGCTCATTCTGTAAGGTAGGAAATAGCTAATGAACTGCCGGTTACATATATTCACTTTATATAAAATTAGGACTATCTGTTACAATACACAATCAGTAGGCTTTATACGACTAAAGCATTTTATCAAGTTTATCAAAAGCATTTTGTCAAGTCTTTCATAGCATTTCGACACTTAACAGAATGTTTATAGTGAGATATTTTTGATAATTTAAAAACATCTCAGACTGCGCTGTGCTGGAAAACTACATTACCCATAACTACACGCCTTCCTCTCAAATGCACATGCGCAGTCATTTGTTCTACTCTGGACAGCTGTAGGAGAAAATGGCAGCACACATGCTAGGGCAGCAGGTAAGACATTCAATGATTTTGGGTTTTTTTTCTTATTATGTAACTTCTGATGGAAAATTTTATAGCTTAAAAACATGTCTTAAGTATTATATTCCTTCTGATAACCAGGGGGTAAGGCTAAATGTCCAACAAATTCACGCGAGGCATTGCACTTGAATGACTGCTAACGTGTTAGCCTACCAGCTAGCTGTCTTTAACGTAAATGACACGAAGCGCACCAAAAGTTCATCGGTTGAAGTTCTGGTTTCTCTGTGTTGAGACCATGTAATTTTGCACCTCTAGGTCCGCCAGTTCAGCACGTCTGTGATCAGACCTGCAGCAAAGCTGGTCAAGGTAAATAATGTCAAACTGCACCGAGTATAACCACTTGTCTACAGACAGTACCAGAATTAGTAAAACGGTGGCAGTTTATTTTATCTCTGTTTATGTCCTTCTAGCCTCCCATCCAGGTGTATGGAGTGGAGGGCCGCTATGCCACTGCTCTGTTCTCAGCTGCCAGCAAGCAGAACAAACTGGACCAAGTGGAGCAGGAGCTGGGGAGAGTGTCTGTAAGTCAACCCTGAATTGTAGGTCAATGACTGATGAAAGTAGTGTACTTTATAATTGAATAATAAACAATTTGGATAATGGTCTGTTGTGTGTCAGACTTTGGTAATAAAAGCAGCTTCAGCCCAATCTGCCTTTCCTCTACTACATTAACTCAGTCACCTTTTGCTGTGTGCCATCTTGTTTTTCAGACCATGATCAAGGATCCCAAGATTTCCGGTATTGTTATGAATCCTCATGTAAAGCGCAACATCAAGCAGAAGACTTTCACTGATGCTCTGGCAAAGGCAAAGGTTTCACCCATCACCATCAACCTCATTAGTGAGTGTTCCCTAACAGGGGCTAAGTGGTCCTATTGTTATGTGCTGGCCTCTGTCTTAGCATTGCATAATATTAATCATAGTTCAAAAAGACCATTGTAGGTTTTGTTTGTGTAAAGTCTGTGTGTGAGTGCAGCGTAGGGGTCATACAAATAGTTATAACGAAATGAGTTTAAGAGGATTCAGGTCAATATGGGTTACAGAAATGTGGAATAACAGAAGTGTTTCTCACTTACATTAATGAACGTGGTGAGTAATAAAAGAGTTATGGTCAACCAGCAACATGATACAACATGAAAATTTGCATTTTGTACCCAAAAGAGATCACCATCAAGAGGTCTCACAGGATCCTACATGTAAACCATACACATTTTACATATTTGTTTATTTTCAGAAGTAATGTAATATTTGTATCACAACTAATACACTTAAAAATGCAATTTTATTTTTTAATACAATAAGTTTGATTCTCTCACCGCAGACATATTTTTTTATCTTATATTTATTCTTCTTCCTGTGACCTCTATGGAGACCTAAAGCGATGTCAGACCAAATAACTACACTAGGCAACACAGATATGAAACTTGTTGTGCAAGGTTTTAATTAAGTGGGAAAATCGTAAACGAATAAAAACATTCTCAAATGCAAATGTTGTAGATAAAAATGCCTTTTAAACAGGCCAACTGTAAACTGCACAATGCAGTCTCCGCAGCTGCATTACACAAATCCCATGTTTCAGTCAGCATAGGAGTACTATATTGATATTGATCATGCTGTAAATTAAGTTTGGAGCTTATTTTCCAAAATTTCACATTTTAGCAAAAATTGTATATGGCAGGACAAGTTTGATAAAATCACGGCCGATATTTATTTTGAAGTAATGTAATACAATACATGAGCTGTACTCTATAATGTTTGCTCACTGTATAAAGGTTCAACTCATGGCTGACAATTGGTAATGCAGAAAAACCCAAACGTATTCTGCTTTTTGTTTTGCAGATGTTTTGGCTGACAATGGCCGTCTTACTCTAACTGGTGATGTGATCAGTGCTTTCGGCAAGATGATGAGTGCTCACCGTGGAGAGGTCATCTGCTCAGTCACTACTGCTCAGGTATGACATGGGTGGACATGTAGGATATGTTCCTGCATACCTTTGTTAAATCTACACCGCAAAACAAATCACCTCATAAAAACAGCCCCTATTATGTATCAGTCACTCTAACTTTAATATTTAGATTTTTGCTTGCTATACATATATTGTACAGTCATGCAATGCATATTTATCCATTTCAGCCTTTGGATGAAGTTAATCTTGCTGATCTGAAAGTAGCTCTCAAGGGCTTTCTTCAGAAGGGTGAAACCATCAAGCTGGAGACAAAGGTACTGTGTAAATACATCAGAAACATACATATTACCATATTGCAGTTGGTGTTACTTCATCACGATAAAAGTGAAGGTGAAGCAAATAATTTTGATGCCAATTTAGTGAATCAGTCGTAGTGTAAATTTAAATCATCTGTAATTTCAACTGTTGTCATTTCTTCACAGTCGGATCCTGCAATTCTTGGGGGCATGATTGTCAGCATCGGCGACAAGTATGTGGACATGTCCACCAAAACAAAGATTCAGAAGCTGACCAAGCTCATCAGAGAAACTTAAGTCCCATGGACTTAATTTTGCAAAAGATCAGAGACGACCATCGGAGGAAACGCTGATAAATGTATATTGCTACCTGTTCCAGCACTGCAGTTGCTCCATAAATCCAGTGTCTGTGCTTAAGTTCATATGGATGTTAATAAAAACTACAAAAAAATGAAGAATGGTCTTTGTTGTCATTGTTGTTGTTATGACACTTGAGCTCAAATTTTTATCAATGACCAGTGATAATGTAGACATGTTTTTTTGTTTTGTTTTTTTGTTTTATTCTTTTTTGCATTTGTATAGTGGGAAAGTGGTAGATAATGTAGCACTTGGTAGTTGCTACAATAGCATCAAATAATAATCTTTTGTGACTTTTTGTTGGTAGAAACCCACGTTCTGCTATTAAGATTATATTTAATATAGTTTTTTGGTAAAGCCACATTGGGTGACACTAATCTGCCTCGCGTTTCCTGAAAGCCTTAGTGCGCATGCGTGGTCAGCGCATCCTGTTTTATTAATTTTTTTTCCAGGCGAAAATGGCTGCCTCTCTCATCTAAACCTCTGCCTAAAGGATTAAATGAACAGAAAATAGGCAACAGAAAAAACAGTGACGCTGCAAGACAATACTCATGGATGCCAGGGCGTAGTTTGTGCAGCGTCTTCACGAAGATGTGGCTGTCAGAGAAAGAAAATGTATGCGATTCGAAATTAACCCTTTCCAGCCCAACGTCCACCAACAAATGAGGTACGAACAATTCATTTTACAGTTTGCATGTGACAATACTAACGTTTAGTGTTGCAACGCTACAAGGCCTGTTTTCTCCACCAAAAGCAAGCTATTAAAAATGCTTCTTTGGGTTTGTGTTTGTCTGGGTAAACGTGCATTTGTAGTGCCTTTCTGCCTAATGTTTATTTCTCTGCACTCCAACAGAAAATGATGCATCAAGTGACCAGTAGCAGCAATGACTATTGTATGAGTGGACTGGCAGAGGACTGTCATCCAGCCAGCCACTTTGATTTATGTAGCACCCAGTCCAACAAATTCTACCCCTCTCCAACCAACCCTGGTTTGCAGCTGTCTCTTGCTGGCCTAGCCCCTCTGCCACAGGGCATGCACAAAGCCATGGCATGCCAAATGCAAGACACCCAGAACGACTTCCAGACTCAGACAGTAAGAATCAGGGGCAATGAAGCTGCAGGGCCCGATAGCTCGAAGAAGAAGAAGGGCATTGTGAAGTCAGGGCGGAGAGGGAGACCATCAGGGACCACAAAGTCTGCTGGTTACCGAACAAGTACTGGACGTCCACTTGGAACAACTAAAGCAGCTGGGTTCAAAACCAGCCCGGGGAGGCCCCTTGGTACCACCAAAGCAGCAGGATATAAGGTTAGCCCCGGCAGGCCCCCTGGCAGCATCAAGAGTCTAGCCCGGCTCAAGAAGCTGGAGTTTGGTTGTGACAGCGGCAAGAAACTTGACTTTAGCAACTGCAGTGTTCCCAAGAAACTGGACTTCAATGCCTGTGATGTTCCACCTTTTCCATACACCATGATGGAGAAAAGAGACCTCTGTGAGCCCAGTAGCAAAGTGGATGAAACCAGAGAATAGTTCTGCAGCTAGCTTGAAAAATATTTGAGTGCATCCAGTAAGAGGACACTGAGGAAAACATTGCTCTCAAATGTTTTCAAAAATAACTGTGTCATTTGAAATGGCTCTGACTGAGTTTTCACTGTACAGTGGTTGACATTATCTTCATCCTCTCATAATAAATGACTGAATCAGAAGTATGTTACTCCAGTTTGGAAGAGATGCATGCATATGAATTAATCACACCAATCAGTATAGGCAAAAAATGTATGTATCAGTTTGTGGTTCGAACCTCACTGGAGAGTGGATCTTTTTTCCCCTCAAGCGTTGTGTTCCTCTGAGTTGTAACACGTTTTCTTACTCTGCTTTAACATTTCTATGGCCAGCTTCTTGTGATATTTTCTACATTTATAAAAATTGCATTTTAGTTGAAACAGCCTATAAAATCAGCTTTTTCCTTACCATAAATATGTGGATGTGTAATTGTCCTTTCTGTGTTGTCCAGTTCAATATGTATTTTATTTTGTGATATTATCCTGCATCATACCTAACAAGGGGACACTGCAATACATTTTAATTAGCTTGAACTGGTAAAACTCAATGCATTATAAACATTTGAACACAGTATTTGTTATTTCTTCACTTTGTGAATCTAGTTTTGATTATGTATTGTATTGCCTGTTTTTGTCCCTAAACTCACTTGATAAGCACTTCCAGATTTACATGTATGGTGTTATGCTGTTCATTAGGAAAAAAGATTACTTCATAAAACAGAAAAGTGCTGTGTGGAATATGTAATAAATGCTAATGTGATGTATGTGAAACCAAAATAAAAGAACGACATGGTCTTTTCAACATTACTTCTCTTCTTCCAAATCGAAAGCATGTAATCCTCCCTGTAGACACAAGAGGGCTCATGTCCCAAGATAATAGTAATCACCTTGTAATATTACCTTTAAATTAACCTCTAAACTAAATTAAATTGCGGCACACTGTCATACATGATCTTATTTTATGGACGTATTCTTACACCGTGTGATAGTAGAACTGGTTAGAAATACTATGTAAGGGTCTTGTTTTATATAAACGCCAGGCATATTATCTGTTGGTGTGGGTGAATAAGTTACTCCTCGAAGCTGTCTGGTCTTTCTACTGTACCATTCACCTAAAAGGTTATGGATATGAAGCACGTAAAGATGTGAGCCCAACAACCCTGATAGTGCGCTAAAAAAAACTGCAGAGGTAAGATCCTCTGCTGTCAAGTCGGCGTGTAACTGGATGGTCTTTGTTTGATCTTGAAGGACTGGCCCACTGTAGCGAGCCTATTGTGCACTCTGCGTTTGCGCGTTTATGGATATTTATCAATAAGATTATACAGCACACGCACCAAATCCTTATTAATGTTATGTGAGAGCAAGCTACAAGACAATCACTGGTGTTTTAATCGGAGCAGAGCAGAGCCCGGTCGTTATGCACGCTTACAGCCACACTGACTCCTTCTTTCTTTCTGTTCTTTTCCTCAGCGCCTAGCGGCCTGTTTCCTCATGTCAGAGGACTCTGTGGAAAGGCAATATGGCGCACGGAGTTTAGTTTGACCGGAGAGGCCGTGCGCATTGCAATCATTTTGTTTTCATGATCTCCCTGTCGCCACAAAGAGATAAACAGGCCTATACCACTCAGTAGAGTTAAAGTCAGAAACAGCCAGCCAGACGCGCAGAAATGTGGCAAATTTCTAAAACAGGTAATTCATTAAATTGTGATTATTACGTTAAATATCAGTTATAAAATACCAGTGACTATTAGAAACTTCACCTGGATGTAGATGTGCGTGCACGTGCGTGCTTGTAAGTGTGCGCGTGTGTTAGGAGGGTGAGTGTCACGGCCCTCTGCAGACGGGGGGTTGGGTAGCAGTGCCGATTGGTTGCTGCTCACCAACACAGTCAGTCTGGGCTTGTTTTAACATTAACCGGGGGCACTTCGACAGCAGGCAAAAATCATGTAGTAAATAAGCTGCTGTGGCTGTTAGGGGACCGGTTATGGCACACTGAATTTCGCCGCTGTATTATGTTGCAGCGTAATGGAGATTTACTTGTTATTTTGTATTTAAGGTGACAGTTTTTAGAGGGCCGCCGCTGATGAGGCGATGAAGTGCAGAGAATGAGAGCGGTGCCTTGGCCTGCTAGTGCTGCTGCAGCTGGGATTGTGCAGATCCGCTTTCACAAACCGAGAAAAACACTCGCTTTGTGCCACATTATCAAACATCCATTGTTGGTTTCACGCTGACCGACCTCTAAATGGTGAGTTTTTCGCGTTTTTCCACGTGTTGATAGTGTTGTGAACTTAGTGCCGATCAGACCTTTTTGTGAGTTAATAGTAGCTTCCTATGTCGGTGTGTGGTTGTAGCTTGTTTGTGTGAGCCACTCAGTGTTTCTGTGATGGCTCAGTGTCACTACCTCTGTTACAGCCTCAGCGCTCCTCCATTGACTGTAGTAGTCAGCGATCGCCATGACCCACAACCACCAGACAAAGCGGTTCTATTTTCTGATAGTTTGTGAATGAATTATGAACGGAGCGGGACAGCGGTTGTGTTCTGTGTTTTGTCTTGTGCTGTCCGACCGGCCTCTACTATGGAGGCCATGCAATGTCGGCTTATTAGTGTGTGTGTATGTGTGTGTTTGTGTATGTGTACGCTCAGTCCATTGCTGGTATGCTCCCTCATAGGTTTCTATCGGACTGGATATGATTTCAGCTCTATTTCCGCAATGTTTTTTTTATGTGATTGACAGGATGCTTTATTTTATTGTACAGTGTGCAAGGCTTACTAGCTCCTCAAATCATAGTTAGTGAGAAACTTCAATGGCAAATTTGCCATGTCTAACCTCCCTCTTTTTTATTTGACAGGATATAGCCATGACAACATGAATCAGTCATACAGACAGGCTGTTAGGGGTTCAGCATTTGGTACTGGCCAGCCAGAGCTGAGGCCCCGCAATGGCCTTGTGAGCACTTCCTATGGAAACCAATGTGGCATTGTGAAGCGTGTGTCAGACCAACCGTCAGCTGTGCAACTGCCATCCTCCAGTCTCAAACAGCCAGCTGTCCTGGGCTACAATCAGCCAGACCGAACTCACTGCTACAGCCCGCTGAGGAGGCTGCAGGACCATAACACTGTGGTCAACAGGCCTGACCTAGAGAGGGACCTCCATCCTAGGAACCACTTGCAGTGTGCAAGCCCAATTAGTGACGATGATGAGTTTGAGGCACCATCAGTCCAGTTGCCTCCTTCTCCAGGCAATGATGACATGGAGCCTTTTGAGACTATGCAGGACGTAAACAGAAATGGCTTCTCACCCCAAAGTTCTGACAGCTTGGAGCGCTGCTCTCCCATCCCAAATGACTACTTGCATTTTGAGTCCACGCTGTTTGACAGCAATGACGTTAAGGAAGAGGACGAGGAGGGGGAGCACAACAGTAGTGACGACCTGGCGCCTTTTCACAACTCCCAAAAGTTGAGTCAGGAACGAACTGTTACTGACAGTAAGACCACATGTGATTCAGGGGGGGACAGAAGAACATACAAACCTACTGTCTTTAATCTGATGTCCAAAACTATATCTGAACTGAACCCTACACTAAGCCCCAGTGCACTGCCAGAAATCACTATGAGAGATGGGTGGAGTTTGGGTGAGGAATCAGACAGTGATGGTGAACTTGGCTCTCCTGTTGACCCTGGACTTATTTCACCAACTGACACCAACTCTAATGTGAGTCTGAAATACCTGGAATACTTACTTTACGAAGTTTATCTTGGTTATATATTTCCATGGACAAAGTAGGTAGGACTGCCTATACATCAAAATGATAGATAAACATAACTGTACCTGTACAGCTTCCAGCTGTAGACGTCACTCAAATTATAATTTTATCGACCTTTTAGAAAGGCATTACACCATGTATTTAGAGATCACACAGGTTCCTAGCAGTGATAACATAATATTTTGATGCAAAAGTTAAATAATACAAAATCTTTTTAAAGTCTCCAACTCTGTTACTCAGAATGTCATTTTAATCACGACAGAAATTTTGATTTGATTCTAATTATATCATATACAGTGCCACAGTTTTCTAAATTAGATGTTAAAGTATTTTTATTGTCCTGGTTAGTCCAACAGCCCAAAGAAAAAGCCTCTTCCTGCAGTAAAATACTTGGAAGGGGACTTAGTGTGGGCAAAGTTCAACAGACGACCCTGGTGGCCCTGCCAAATCACCTGCGATCCAGACCAGGGGACCCACACTAAGATGAAAGGTGAGGTTTGATTTGCATATGCATTTTATGATTAAATTGTTTCCCACAACTTGACCTTTACCCAAGAGGTTAACACCAACCACAGGAATTCTTTTGTGTGTAAGTTAGTTGATAAATTGACAATTATTCTACTTCAGTTCCCAGTCCCCGTCCTTGTCGGATGTATTTCCTGGAGACGATCGGAGAGATTATAGAATGTGCCTGGGTCCAAGGGAATGTCATTCTTCCTTTTGAAGGAGGCCATCAGTTTGAAGACTTACCTGTGCTTAGACGGAGAGGGAAGCAGAAGGAGAAAGACTACAAGTATACGGTAACTTATGAAATAACTAACTAAAATCTCATCTATATTTACGGCGAACATTATTTTGAATGTTAATTGTGTTCTTGGCAGATACCCAAAAGTTTACTGACTGCGTGGAAAGTCAGTGTGACAGAAGCTGAGTATCTACTTCCTGGTCGACAAAGGAACACTGAAAGTGTGCTTTCAGTATCCATCAATGGAGAGGAGCGTGTACCCAGCCCACTCCCCACTGAAAAGCCACAGGAGGCCCCCTCTCCCACTGTGGACTCTGGCCGAACCCCATCTCCAAATATGCCCCCCAATGAAAATGAACACCATCTCATAAAAAACTCTACAGTTCAATCCAACAAGAGCAAAGCTTGCAAGAAGAAAAAGAAATGTTTGTCAGATATATTTGGCCATATAGTTGGTGGATCAAAGGAATCATCTACCATCACAAACATAACAGACAAGTTTCATACAACAACTTGTGCACTGAAAGAAGAGCCAAAGGACTCCCCATATGCTGACCTGGACTCAGTTCCAATGCTGCATCGTCCTAAACGTACAGCAATGTCTCCAATACAGGACGTAGACAGACTGGTTAGAAAACAGGGTTCATCAAAAGCTAAAACAAAGTTAACTGAAAAGGTGAACCAATGTACAGATTCCTGTGATAGCATTTTAACAAATAAATTGACATCTAAAGATACAAATTCTGAACAGAATTTGGGCAGCTGTAATGAACTGTTGTACAGTTCAACTGAAAAGCACTCTATGAACCTTCCTGCCAGCAGTCGTCTGATGACGAGGGCTCTGAAAGCAGAGGAAAAGACTGATCTCAAAGATGCACTGGCCACAAGCCAAATCTCAACAGATACTCATAATGATGATTGTACTAATAATACATCTACTAATGCACCAATCAAAACTGAAATGTCTCCTAACTGGGAATCCCCCAGCAATGCATCTTCCTCTACCGATCACAGCTCTCCAAAAAGGCGTGCAAGGAAGCCTGATAAGAAACTAATTCGTAATGGCTCATTGATAAAGTCTAAGTGTTCAGGCTCCAGTGTACCCACTGTGCAACCTGTTAAGATCAAAACGGAAAATGTTGCCCCAGATCTTTCAACCTCTTCTTCCCCGTCCTTGTCTCTGTCTCCCATGGAAGCCTTTCAGGATGTCAAGGAACTAATGTTTAAATCGCTTGTGAAGGAGGACAGCAGTGACTCTGAGCTCACTGCATTTCGGCCTGATTCCAATTATAAATTCAGTACTTTTTTGATGCTGCTGAAAGACATGCATGATATCAGAGAAAAAGAGGGTAAACCCCTGACTCTCCCGCCATCACCAGTCCTGATCAAGGAGGAACCCTTGGTCATCCCTACTGCTACTGGGGGTGACCCACTTAAGGGTTCTAATGAAGGTTTTACTCAAGGGATTAAAACAGAAAATGGCCAATTGAGAAAATCCATAATACCCAACAACACAGCAGTGAAAACCAAGAACAGGACTAAAGCTATCATGACAGCAGACACCTACCACTGTGAAGACTTTCCTGTTCACTCTCAGACTGGGAGCTCAGACAAGCAGCGTAGAAAACAAAGACTACCGGCCAAACTGAAACTCAGCATACCTGGCCTTTCCTCAGACCTGGCTGACTTGGCTTATGGCAGGGAGTTTGTTAGTGGCCACGCTGACTTAGCTGATCCTGGATCTGGTCCTCCCGTCGCTGCTGATCCCTCGGCCAGCTACCTCAACAAGAACTCAGAATCCACAGTGGCTCCAAAGAAGCGCTGGCAGGTGGTTGAGGGGGCTGCGGAGAATAAGGGTGGGTGTATGAGTGAGGCGTCTGCTGAGATGAATGGGCCTTACACCACAAGGCCGTCACCAGATCTTGATCTGGGAATTAGGAAGCAGGCAGAGAGTGACTCGCACTTCCTAGAGACAAGCAGCATAGCAGGTAAGACACAAACTGCTGCTGCTTTAGTTTTTCTACTGAGATGTTAAAATAAGTGACCAAGCGATACGTATGTCATGTATGTTTACACAGGGCATTCAGAGAACAAACGTCTGCGGAAACCAACTAAAAGGCTCCTGGAGTCAACTGAGGAGTATGAACAAATATTTGCCCCAAAAAAGAAATCAAAGAAACACACCTCAGAATCTTCCAAAATGGTAAGAAATTCATCTTTCTTTTAATTTCCGTTAATTACAAATTGAAATTACTACACTTGATGTAAATATGAAATATCGTTTATTTTACTGTTTTACTGTTTTGTGTTTAAGAAAAACTTTACATATTCAGGTGTGTATATTCTAACAGTATTTTTCAACATCTTGTGGCACCTGTATGTCACCTTAATGGTTAACTCTGCAACCTACAGCATATAACATGTTTCTAGGGAGGCTTTGAGAATATTCTATATTGTGTATGTAGTGTATAAATTAAAAGTAATACAGACTCCATGTTTCACAACCTGTTTCCAAAAGACAGACATAGTGTATATGGGATGTAAATTGCTCCAAAATAGATTTTTGGGAATAAAGGAATAATTACATACCTTAGTAATCATTCCAATCGTATGATCGTATGTCTGTACAGTTACGCGTATCATTCCATCATTTATTGTCTTATTGATGAGTTATCAAGATATCATTGCAGAAACAAATTTGATAAACTTCTAATTTCTGTAAAATCTTAAAATATCACTAGAACATGCTGCTCTTAATTTGAAACTATATATTTGATGTACCCCAATCGTGTTTTGTTTGCATGTGTGTACACAGCAGACATCAGGGATGACAGCACTCCATGATCTCAGTACCACACCAGGATCTGTTACCTCATGCTCATCTTCTCTAGAGCCCACAGAGGCTCTGACTGAGCCTGAACAGAGTCCATCTCAGGACGAGCTTTCTCCTGTAGCATGCTCAGTATCCCCAGCCACGACCCAACCCCCCCTTGACACAGAGACAGCAGAAGAAACTGATCTACCTCCTGAATCTGGTAAATAACTTTAAGAGTGTCTTCTCACTGAATATCATGTTTAAGCTGGAAGCAACTGTCAGGTTGTATGATACAAAATAGACTGGTGTTTCTCTGTGGAATATTTAAAATCTCTTATTATGAATGAACCATTTTGTCCCTGAGATGATATTTTTACATTAGAATAAATAATGCATTATTTAATCATTTTTTTTCGCCGTAGACACAGGGTTATTAATCCAAGAAAGAAAGAGGCCAAGGAAGCTGTCACACAAGGTGCTGGAATGTCCCATAGAAGAAGTGTCTGTTGCTCCTATAAAAAAGAAGGTATGTTACGACTGAGATGGCAGTGGGCAAGTGTACTAGTGTGTGTATACTATTCCAGTTAGTATTTTGGGCTAGTACTGAAAATGTACATATTTTCACAATTTGTCACCTGTTTGTTTTGTAGGAGCTAAAGCGACACAGTGCAGTTACCTCTGAGGTGAAGGTGTTGGTCAAGAAAACTCAGGTTCTTCAAAAGCAAATTCTATCGCTCTCCCTATATCCAAACAAGCAATTTGATGTTGAAATCAATCTACCTTATTTAATCATCCTCAAAAATCTCACATTGGATAGGTTGCATCTGTGAAGAAAGAGAAGCCTACACCCACCACATCCTCAGCCCCTGCTGTCGCCTCCCAGCACTCAGAGAGCAAAGACGTTCTCGGTGGACCCAGTCCAAACAGGCCTCCCAGCCCCCGGGAATCTAAGACCCCCAAGCAGGAGACAGAGATGGAGCCCTCCAGCACTGAGGAAAAACAAAATGTACACACTGGAACACTAACTCCCAAACCTGAGGTGTGCATGTTGTATTGTTCAGCTGAAAAATCACTAGTCATCCATCAAAGAGGGATCTGTAGTCCTGCATCCATGACCATGGGTAACAATAGCTCTTTCTTAATCTCCGTAGGTACAGTCTGTGGGGTTGAATGACAGCCTCTCTTCCCATGTGGATATAAAAGGGAAAATAGGAGCAACATCCTTAAAGGAGAACGTTTGTCAGGTGGGACAATCTATTAGAAAGTATATATTTTTTGCTTTGTATGGCTCAGTTTCGGACACATCCTTCATTTGCAGCAGGTAGATCGTTAGCATATTTTACTGTGTATTTGTGTGTATGTTTGTGCAGGTATGTGAGAGGACAGGAGACCTGCTGGTGTGCGACGGCCACTGTTATGGAGCATTTCACCCGCAGTGTATAGGCCTGTCAGTGGCTCCCAGGGGAAAATTCCTCTGTCGTGAATGCAACACTGGTGAGTACGCCGGTGTCTGACAGGGGCAGCACTGGTCTGTCAATGATCATAAAATGTGTGGTCTTACAAGCTTAAGTTTTGAAATACTTCTTTCTTTTTGTTCCTTCCAGGTGTCCACACATGCTTTGTATGTAAGAAGTCTGGTGATGGGGTAAAGCGCTGTATGATACCACTGTGTGGGAAATTCTACCATACAGACTGTATATTGGGCTACTCTGCAACCCAGCCACATAACAAAGGCTTCCGCTGCCCTCTGCACGTTTGTCTGTCCTGCCACATCACCAACCCTCTCAACGTCTGTAGCTCTAAGGGTAAGCTCCAGTCTGCCTGTGGATATAATGTGATGACTGTTACATGTTCGAAAGGTCCCCACAGACTTGAATCATGCTGACTTCATGACTTCATGACCTCATACATTTCCTGATTTCATGACCGAAGATCTCGGGACTGTGCACCCCATCAGAGTAAAGGCACTGTCATATTTCTTACAACACTGAAAGTGGTGCTTTGGAGTCCCTTTGGCAAAGATTAAACTGTAGCCATCACTACACATTTTCTGCCTGCGTAGCAGCAATGTGTATGCACTTAGAGGTTCACCATCGGCACCATCCTGGAATGTTTAATGCAAAATGGACCTTGTTGTTGATCCATGTTGTGCCAAACTCTAAACCTGCTATCAGTGTGTCCGTTGCTGGTAAACACGAGGTAGTTAGCGTGAAAGTTTTTGTTCTGAGATTCTCTACACTATATTTGGTTATTTGCAAAATTGACCATCTCCTCTATAAATGACTCACTGTTTACATGTAAACAGAGAGGTATTATACCTAATAAAGTGGCTGTAAGTAGTAGCCCCATTAGCATCTTTGCTCATGTGTCACTACAAACCGTGCCAGTAGCCAGAGATGTCTGATGTCTTCATACAATATCCTTGAAACAGCTCCTGGTGCTGACAATACACACAGTGTGTGTTATCTTGGGTTTTGGTAATTTGACCTGACTCTATCTGAAACAGTTGCTGCACATATTTTTGGCACAGTACACTTACATTAAAATTTTTTTTCTTTCTTGGACTTTGATGTACCAGCTCTCCAGATAATCCTGTAAAATCTAATCAATTTGTGTCAATCAAGGTGTAAGGGGACGTGACATTTGGAGTGCATTTAAAGTGCTTCATAAGGCATTCAGTTGACTGAGAGCACTGTGTGTTGTTGGGTTGTTGTTACAAAACCTCAGTTAAATATCCAGATGTGTGTGGATTAAGATGTCTTTGTTCCTCTGTATTTTAATTCTAGGTCGGCTGGCTCGATGTGTGCGCTGCCCTGTGGCTTACCATGCCAATGACAACTGCATGGCAGCAGGCAGTTTGGTGCTGGCAAACAACAGTTTCCTCTGTCCGAACCACTTCACTCCCCGTAAAGGCTGCAAGAACCACGAACACATCAATGTTAGCTGGTGCTTCGTCTGCTCTGAAGGCGAGTTTGGTTTTGTTCTATGGTGATTTTTAATCTGCCAACAAAACAGTTTTACTACTATGATCACATATACATTTCTTGACATGAGCTCAGATGTGAAACTGCTAAATGACTCAGACCTGATCACTCTTTTGCACATTTTTCCAAACTGTCGTCTTGTTTCAGATATTGATAACATCCATAAAAGTGCCTGCTTTGGAAAATGCACTGTCCTTTATTCTTTATTCTTCCCCCACTTAGCGAATGTATCATTGATGCAAAAACTGTCTTTGTTTCCATTTGTATGCTGTACCTACACACACATCTGCCTCTTCAAACCAGGATCTCAAAAGGCCATAGTGCCCGAAAGGAATATGTCAAGACTTTACTTACACACCTGCTTGAGCTTAGCACAATCATTAGTAACACTGATGGTATGAATTGGTATAGCCACCGTTGTGTCCCCTGTGTTTCTTCATTGTCTGCATTGTGTGTGCTTTATGTTAGTCACTGTGCTTAAATAATTAGTCGACGAGATCAAAACACTAGAAGACGACTGACAGCAGTCGTAACAGATCATTTGGTATTTAGTTGCTGTTAATCCCTAAGAAAGTGCAGATGGTTGTAAATCAAAAACCTTGGGGCTTATTGATCGTTGAAGAGATCAAATATACACTTTTAAGACACTCTTTGGGCTCTGGTAACTTGCAATGGCCATTTGTCATTGTTTTTTATATTTTGTAGACAAAATAATAAAATAGCCTTGTTCATTTAGTTAATAAACTCAATATATTTTCATTGCCCTTATCAGTGTGTTGTGCTGTGGTTTTGTAGGGGGCAGTCTGCTGTGCTGTGAGGCCTGTCCTGCTGCTTTCCATAGGGAATGTTTGAATATGGAGATGCCTCAGGGCAGCTGGTTCTGCAATGACTGTAAAGCTGGGAAGAAGCCTCGTATTAAGGACATACTGTGGGTCAAATGGGGACGTTACAGGTAAGTGCACAACAACATTGTCTTCAGATACACACAGTGGTTTTAAGCAACAGCTAATGTACCCATATTTCTTCTTATGAAACCTGACCTAACTCTTTAGGTGGTGGCCTGCAGAAGTCTGTCTAGCCAAAGATGTTCCAAATAACATCTTGAGAATGAAACACGAGGTGGGAGAGTTCCCAGTCCAATTCTTTGGCTCCAAAGATTTTGTGTGGACATACCAGGCCAGAGTCTTCCCTTACATGGAGGGTGACACTCACAACATTGAGAAAATGGGGAAGGGTGCAGATGCCGTGTACAAAAAGGGTATGTGCTTTAATTCAGCGACTGTATTTTTGCAAGTGCTCAACTGAATCTTAGCTTAAGTTTATGCTTTAATAGTCTGAGTAAAGATCATGTCTTTCTTTATAGCCCTGACTGAAGCAGCAGAAAGGTTCAGAGAGCTCCAGGCAGAAAAGGAAATGAGGCAACTTCAGGAGGACAGAAAGAATGACAAGAAACCTCCTCCATACAGGCACATTAAGGTATAGTGTGACATCTGTGCTCATCTAGACTGACCTAAGACCAGTTCACCAAGATGTACAGTAAAAAATCACGCCGCCGTCTCTGTCTCTTAGGTAAACCGGCCAATTGGGAAAGTCCAGATCATAACAGCTGACCTATCAGAGATCCCACGTTGCAACTGTAAAGCCTCTGACGAGAACCCCTGCGGCATCGACTCGGAGTGCATTAACCGCATGCTGATGTATGAGTGCCACCCCCAGGTGTGTGCGGCAGGGGAGCGATGTCAGAACCAGGCCTTCACAAAGCGCCAGTACACAACTGTGGAGATTTTCAGGACACTAGGTTGCGGCTGGGGTTTACGTGGTGTGTCAGACATCAAGAAGGTAGGTTGGAAAAAAATCTGACACAAGGTTGTTGAATTGTAAGTAGTAAACACATTATACTTATTCCTCTATCTTATTTTTTTCTCTGTTGCTTCTCAGGGAGCCTTTGTTAGTGAATATGTGGGAGAGGTGATAGATGAAGAAGAATGTCGAGCCAGGATCAGACATGCCCAGGAGAACGACATCTGTAACTTCTACATGCTTACACTGGACAAGGTGAATCTGGGCTAAATACCTGCTAACACGTCATGTGATGTCATGTGTTTATGGTACTGCTTAGCAACCCACTTGATTCATAATGTAGATCAGATGCCTGGTGCAAACCTAGTTCTATTTTTTAATTCCAGGACCGGATCATTGATGCTGGGCCCAAAGGGAACCAGGCTCGCTTCATGAACCACAGTTGCCAGCCAAACTGTGAGACCCAGAAGTGGACTGTGAATGGGGACACCAGGGTGGGGCTGTTTGCTCTACAAGACATCCCAAAAGGTTTGAGTGACAGCCTGCAACTCACTTTTGTTGTTTTGCATTGTATAGGATTAAGAATGCAGAACATTTCATTAATTTACAATCTACAATCTGAGCGCAGTTTTAGAGCTAATCCAGCGTGTCCTTTAGGTGTGGAGCTGACTTTCAACTACAACCTGGAATGTCTTGGGAATGGGAAAACTGCCTGTAAATGTGGAGCACCCAACTGCAGCGGTTTCCTTGGTGTCAGACCAAAGGTAAAAGTACACATTTGAACAGTTTTATTGCTTCGTGAGCACACTTGGCACCCTTTAGATGATCCTCTGACCGTCCTTGCCTAAATTTACAACTTACAACAAAAAGCTGCCTTTTCCTTCTTCTTGTTCAGAACCAGCCGTCAGCAGAGAAACTGAAACTGAAGGAGGGAAAAAGAAAGGTCCCCATGAAGAAGAAGACCAAGCAAGAAGTGACCAAGGAAAGAGAAGACGAGTGTTTCAGCTGCGGTGATGGGGGACAGATTGTGTCCTGTAAGAAGCCAGGCTGCCCGAAGGTCTATCACGCTGACTGTCTCAACTTGGCCAAGAGGCCTGCAGGCAAGTAGGGACTGAGGGCTGTTACTGTTTATGTAAGGATCACTTTTAGCCCGTATCATATTTCTAAAGGGGCTCTATTAAATCAAAATTGTTTCTCAAAATTGACTCAACTTTCAAATATCCTCAAGCATTCATGGTTTTAAGGAATGATCACTGGGCAGTGAATTGAATTTGGGTGAAAGTGGACTAAACTTTGTTTTGTGCTAATGATGACAGAACGACCAGATATATCTAACAAAACATTGCCCTTGATCATCTGCTGCTAACATGCCATTTCTTGATATTGTTGGTGTTGTATTGAGTGTTTTCAAACTCCCAAACTCATAGTTTCATTATTTCAGTTTTTTAAGCAGATTTTAACCAGACCTCTATGACTGTTATAATATCAAGTGGCTTATTACATTTATCAACCTCAGTTTGGTCAAAAAATGTTACTGTTTGTGCCTTTTAGTCTAAAAAAAACACAAGATATGCTGAGTACTGACACTAGTCTTGTCCCCAGGGCGATGGGAGTGTCCGTGGCACCAGTGTGACATCTGCGGAAAAGAGGCAGCTTCATTCTGCGAGATGTGTCCCAGCTCTTACTGTAAGGAGCATCGTGAAGGCATGCTCTTCATTTCCAAGCTGGACGGCAAATTGTCCTGCAGTGAACATGACCCCTGTGGGCCAGACCCGCTGGAGCCAGGAGAGATTCGTGAATACGTGCCCAACACGACCTCTGTGAGGCCTGGGGCAATGTCTGTGCCCATCACTCCCTCGCTGGTCCCAGACTCCAGAAGAGCTAGTTCCTCTGCTGTTCCCATCTCTTCCCCTGCTGGTCAGGCTCCACTGGGCAGGCAGGAGCCTCCTCCTCGTCTCTACATCAACACAAAGACTGCTACCTCGAGCTTCATCCCTTCCAGCAGGTCTCACCTCAGAGACAGGACTGAGGGGAAAGCGTTCTCCACTCCTACCTCCTCTAAGGATGAGAGAGAGGATGGTGAGGTGGAGGACGGGGAGGTGTGCGGGTTAGAGGTGGAAGAGGTGGAGGAGGTGGAAGACGACGACGACGATGACGAGGAAGCAGAAGAGGAAGAGGATGAAATGGAGGAGATGGAGATAGTGGAAGATGAGGAGGAGGAGGAGCCACTGTATGGAGGGGACATGCTGGAGGAAGATGACGAGGAGGAGGACGACAACGACGACGAAGGAGGGGATGTGTATGACACTTGGGATGATTATGTGGATGAAGATGCTGATGATGGAGAGGTGGAGGACTTGGAGGAATGGGGGAGAGTGGAGGATGATGGTAAATGACTCGGCCCATCCATTCCTTTATAAATACTCAACAAAAACTCTCAATAGACATTCAAAGGACAAAAAGAGTTTGATATTTTGGTACCTACTTGAACGCAACACTGCCTTCACTTTGGTACTACATTGCCTTCTCATCCACTGCTGGACTGACGGTGCGGATGTGTACTGGTGCTAAGGCTCGAGGACTGATTCAGTCCATCTCTTTATACTTCTGTCAATATGTTTATTTGTGTCTGGTGCTGTTATGTTCTTTTGTTCTTTCTCTCATTATTGTTTACATTTTTTGGCCTTTTTTAAATGTTTGGAATATAAGAAAAAGTTGAGAAGTTTCACCTGACCAAACTGTCACGATAAGGGCATCTTATGTTGTTGTTACTGTCTTAACCTTGTCTTTCTAATTACAAGAGTGATAAAAAATAGTGTTCTCACTGGTCCATGTTACAGTTAGGCACAACAATACCTGCTTGATGCTTCTGAGGAATGCAAAATAAACCCACTGGAGTCATCAAGACTGAAATGATTCTTGTCAAGATAAAAAAAAAAACAAAAAAAAAAACAGCCAGTAGTTTTTTTTCATTGATTTTACTATTTCTATTAATACATCCTGTTTTCTCTCCAAACAGGTAGGTCAGAGCTCAGGATCGGACACACACAGAAATAAAAGAATGCCGTGACATAGCACAACCAAAATATGCATCACATATATCACTAACATTGGTTTTACACCCATCACTGCTGTCCCATTAACAAAATTAGAATAAAGTCAAATTACTTATTCTCGTGGTATCCAGTATTTCTTTCTCTTCTCAGTCACACATGGCAGAAGAAATCTTTTTTTGTCAGCAATATATCACAAGGATACTTTTAAGCTAATGCTGTAACTGCCATGTGAGTTTGTAAGTGTATTTGATAAGTAAGCAAGCTGTATCAGCATCCAGGAGATGGGGAGTAAAAAATAGTTCTTTGGTTATCTCATTGTGTATCCTGTAACCTGTTTGATTATTTTTCTACTTGAGGTTTCTACCACAGATTGTGTTAGAAGTCTTGACTTTTGTCCGTTAAATATGGCTGGTAACCATATGTGACTTGAAGGTTTTGAACTGCAGTCTGTTTTCTGCTTATCTCAGACACCGTTTCTCATAGTTCTTGCATCTCTTACACAGTTCATCAAGACAGATTTACCAGGTCTGAATGCAGGAAATAAAAATGAACCGTTTTTTATAGACTGGTGCTTCATGTGAACCATATTTTCTATTTATCAGTCTTATTGTCTTTCACATTATGCATTACACTTTAATGATGGTTCAGCCTATAAAACAAGATTAAATCAAACTGTAGTCTGTTGCACTAAATTTCAATAAAAAGGTTAAGACTTTATTTTGATGCAGTTACGCTCTTCAAGATCAGGTAAAAACACAAACACACCCTGAAGCTTTTGTGGCCCTTGGAGTTCCAGGGCCTGGTAATCCAGTAGTGTACTTGTGCCCCCCAGTGGTGGAAGAAGTACTCTGATATTTTGCTAAAGTACCAGTACCACTGTTCAGAAATATTCTGTTACAAGTAAAAGTTCTACATTTTAAATTTGATGTCTGTGAAGATTCCCAGTCATCCAGGTCCATGATTATCCAGGAAAAGTTGATTCAAGGGCAACTGGACTTAGTTGTGGGTGCTTATAGATATTTCCCCTCTCAGCCATGAGGCCTCTTCAAAACTTGACTTGGGTGCAAGTGCAAAAGCATTAGCATAAAAATATATTTAAAATGACAAAAAATGAAAGCACTCATTGAAAATGCTACATATATGTAGGCTATATATTACTGGATTATAATTGTTTATGCATCAATGTGCAAGCATCACTTTAATTTGGCAGCTGTTAAAAATGCAGCTAATATTAACTACTTTATTAATTGCTTGGTTGCTCAATCAATAATAATGTATTATATTTTTTGTTTATATGGATATAAACATATCCATATAGTTACTACCAGTACTTACGTAAAAGTATTTAGTCACTTACACTTACTGGTGTGAATGAAATGAGCATCATTCACATTTGAGATATGTTGTGAAAAAGTATAACCACATCTGTCATGTTCCACACAAAAAGAAAAATGTTCTGATTTAGTAACACAATTATATAAACAACCGTGGTTGTGGTTAAGGCTCTACATCGAGGTGAATAGTGTAAACAGCTCCGTCCTCTAGATATCGCTGTTTCCCAACGTCATGACGTCAACACCATAGAGAAAGACAGGACGTGACGTAGCTGTGGTTGATGTAAAATGGCGACTATGGTGCATTAGTCAAAACAAAAGTAACGAGTCCAGTAACAGAGACATAGAGAATTACCGTTTTCGCAAAGGAAATATCAACCCAAGTATTATTTGTTGGATCTTACCAAGGTAACCAAACTGTTGATTAAGTCAGTTTATAAAATAAAGTAAGATAAAAACATTTCTTCCACGTTGAAGTCAACAGCTAGGTTAGCTAACGCTGATGGTGAGCTTCTGTTTAACATTTATAATCATGAACTTTATGCACTCGGTGCTGGGTGAATATGTTGAAGACGATGGGAGAAGAACTACTTCTCGGACTGATAATGTTTCTGCTCAGCAGTTCGATGTGTTAGATGACTGTTGTTCATTTAATAAGGTGTATTTGTGGTGGCAGGTTCAGACATGACCGAGCAGACCAGTGTCAGCACGGAAGGCATCGTTGGGCTGGATGAGCCCAAGAAGATGACCAGGGAGGACTGGAGGAAGAAGAAGGAGCTGGAGGAGCAGAGGAAGCTGGGAAACGCTCCAGCTGAGGTTGACGAGGAGGGGAAGTAAGTTTGTGTGGACAGAAAGCAGAGCCTGTTAAGTGTCTGAAGAGATTCTCCAACTTACTTTGCTACATGTTCACATCTGGAAATTTAAAGTAGATACGCCACTGATTAAAGGGGTACATTATTTATAACCAAGAATGGGTCAAGCAGACCCTTCCTGACTGTTAAATGTTGTTATGATGCAACAGTGATAAATGTAAAAAGGCATTCACGTCAGCATCCAAATTGTAAATACATTTTTAATAGTTCTGAACTGGCACTTGATAATGTGGTGCCTGAAAACCAAACAAACATGGAGGTCTCTCATCAGCCACAGTTAATTCTTCAAGGTATCTAAACGCAAAAATTAATTGACATAGTGGTGTATTACCCATGCACAGTATTTTTAACACAACTAACTAACTGTCTGGTGACGTGAACACTGGCACGCTGTGAACAAGGGAATCTATCACATCTCTGCTGTCCTTCTCTTATTACATGAATGTGGTGCAAGTCCCACAAACTTTAAACCCTGATTAAAGTTTAAAAAATATTTACAATGTTACAAGTTAGTGTTGTGACAGTAATTAGGACCACTTGGGCTGCTTCTTCTCATCTCCAGGGACATAAATCCTCACATCCCACAGTATATTTCATCAGTGCCGTGGTATATCGACCCATCCAAACGGCCCACACTAAAGCATCAGAGACCACAGTCTGAAAATGAGGCGCAATACTCAGCAATCGGAGAGTGGTATAAGAGAGGAGTGCAAGAGGTGAGACTGAATCATTGAGTTACTTTCATATGGCTGTAAGAAATTAGCTTTAAAGTTCATAGCTTCATTTTGTTTCTCCACACAGAGTACTGTTACTACTAAATATCGTAAGGGAGCTTGTGAAAACTGTGGTGCCATGACACACAAGAAGAAAGACTGCTTGGAGGTAAAAATGAATAAAGCAATCTTTCATCTTCCAGCAGAGATGAACTTTTACTCATTTGTATTTCAGTACATTGATAGAATGTTATATCCTTGTACTTAAATGATAACCTCTGACCTTTACTGTGGTCCCATCAGCGACCCAGAAAAGTTGGGGCGAAGTTCACAGGCACAGGCATAGCTCCAGATGAACATTCTCAGGTCCAGCTTGACTTGGACTACGATGGGAAGCGGGATCGCTGGAATGGATACGACCCTGAGGAACACGAGCGCATCGTGGAAGAGTACGCCAAAGTAGACTTGGTGAGTAGTCTAGTGGTAAATTCATTGTGGTTAAACTTTGGGGCATTTGTTTGTTTTTGTTGAAATGAAGAAAAACGAACTTCCATGGTACCTTATCACTGTGTTAAGGCCACAGAGCTCTGCCCTCTTCCAAGCACATTCCTGTGGTCCTATAAGAATCAGGACCAAATTTTAACAAGCTACACAAAACAACTTTAAACTGAACATTTTTATCGGTATATTGATTAAACAGATTGATATCTGACAACCAAAAATCCTTTATTCTTACAAAGCTTAACAAACTGTACTGAGGGCAAGCGGAAGTCAGAACCAATCAATTGCAGGTACTGGGACACAAATCAGGCGTGACGGTACAATCACATTCAAAACATTGCATTTTAACTGTGTGATCTATTTGTAGTCTACTACATGAAACTGACCTTCTATTTGTTTCTGTCTCTCAGGCCAAAAGGACTCTGAAGGCACAGAAACTTCAGGATGAATTGGCCTCTGGAAAACTGGACCAAACTGTAAGTATTCAGGAATGTCAAGATTGTATAAGTAATGGATCGTATTGAGATATTGTGATGAAAGACGGTCTCTTGTCCCGGAGACTAACATTGAATTCTCTGAATCCTTTGTCTGCAGGAGTGGGAACATGACAGTGAGGATGAAGATGAAGATAAATATGCAGATGACATTGACATGCCCGGTCAGAATTTCGACTCCAAGAGACGAATCACTGTCAGGAATCTGCGTATCAGAGAAGACACAGCTAAAGTAAGAGACACATGACTGTTCAGGCCTATTGCCTACGTTGAACAATCGTTTACTCCTAGCTTTTCTATCTGTGATGCTAATTATCTTTCTGTGCTGGACAATGTTTGCTGAATTAAATGAATATGGAGGAGACATTTGGTTGCATCTAATGTCCACTGTTAAAGCTGATTTAAGTGAGAGTGGAGGGAGTGTCATTACAATCAATAATCTGAACTTTTCATGTCTGTCTCTCACAGTACTTGAGGAATCTCGATCCAAACTCTGCCTACTACGATCCAAAGACTCGAGCTATGAGAGAGAACCCATACTCCAACACTGGCATGAACCCTGACGAGTAAGTTACTGCTCCTGAACTTCCTGATAACTCCATTCTCACTGGCATACGTTGTAAACATTTTTGAACTGTTTTGTTTGTTTGTTGACAGAGTGGGTTATGCTGGAGACAACTTTGCTCGTTACAGTGGGGACACAATCACCATGGCTCAAACACAGTGTAAGTCACGAGATGTCACCTCTCCACCTCCACTCCCAGTTGTGGAAAGAGCATTTTCCTGATATTACAAGTATATTGTTGTTACTTCAATGATAAAATTGTGTCATGTTTCCTGGGATCATTGTTATGTTGGTGCTATCAAAATACTGCAGGTGGCACCAAACCCATCGTGCTTATATTTTAATATGTTCTTGAACAATGTGGCATTTACACAACAACTGCAAGTGTGTATGTGATGTCAACATTAAACAAGTTGTCTTTAAAAGAGCACATCAAAAATTTGGAAGGGAGGAAAAGAAGTTGGTCTGTTGGCGTGTGCTTTAGTCACGTAACTGAGTGAACAGAAGTAGCATTTAAAGGTCATAACCATATTTTACAGAAGGTAAAGCCTGCTGACATCAGTGGTTAGTAGTTTTTCACTGTTGATGTTTATTTTCTGTAATTACTTTTAATAGTGTGAGTTTAAGCTACCTGAAGTCACCTTAGCTAGCAGACAAAGCTAAAATTGCAAATTTCGCTATCAAAGTACGCATATTATTCGAGATATCAAATAATATTGATGATATTAGGTCATTGAATTATAGGACAATTATTTTCCCAATAAAACATGTCTACCTATCTGATATAAAATGGTAGATATGACATGAGGCACCAAAAGCAGGATTAATTCAGTTTTGCCAGAAATGATAACTTCTTTGTTTTCACACACTGGATACTCAAAAATAACATTTACTCACAATACAAGCAGGAATGCAGCCTGTATTTGTAGTGTCCTGTTATGATTGTCAATGCTTCATGTTATGACAGTGTTTGCCTGGGAGGCCTATGAGAGAGGCTCAGAGGTGCATCTGCAGGCCGACCCCACCAAGCTGGAGCTGCTCCACAAGTCCTTCAAGGTCAAGAAAGAGGACTTTAAAGAGGAACAGCGGGAGAGCATCTTGGAGAAGGTGACATCTTTTGTTTTAAAACAGGAGGGTGCTAACTAAAGGTTCATACACACTATGAGATATCTATCTCGCTGGCTCATTGCATGTCGTGCTGCATGACAAGCGTCTAATAGAATCTTGGTTTCAGTATGTATCAGAATATACGCCAGATTGTGCATTGTTAAATCAAATTATGCCAGAAGAGACGGTTCATCTCACATCATCCAGCTACACCATGATCATGTTTTGAAAATGACACTTTTCATTTTTTCATAACGACCAAAGATGGTGATAGTGAAAATGGTGTATAGGAGCTTAATAAGTATTCATACTGGCTGATGACATTACTGACTATGTTTGTGCTTTTGTTTGTGACACTCAGTATGGAGGTCAAAAGCACTTGGATGCTCCGCCGCGGGAGCTGCTGTTGGCCCAGACGGAGGACTACGTGGAGTACTCTCGTCACGGTGCTGTACTGAAAGGACTTGAGAAAGCCGTCGCCCGTTCCAAGTATGAGGAGGACGTCCTCATCAACAACCACACTGTAAGGATGGCAGAACAGACTATACCTGTTGCTAATTTTGCTAATTTCATTCACTATGCATTCTTTAAAAATTAATCTTGTGTGTTTTTAGTGTGTTTGGGGCTCTTACTGGAAGGATGGTTGCTGGGGATACAAGTGTTGTCACTCCATGGTCAAACAGAGTTACTGCACAGGAGAGGCTGGAATTGGAATAGTGAGTACATGTAATAACAGTGTTTAAAGGCTCTGTTTGATACACAGAGTATATATTTTTTTCCATAATTTTAGTTTTGTAACTTCTATACTGTTTTTGTTCTTTTTAATAATGTGCAGAACAACTCAGAGTGTGTTCCATTTGAAGAGGGACTCACTGAGCCACAGGAAGAAGAACAGCCAAAATCTCTGCTGGAGGTAAGTGACACCGAAGAGGTTACTGATTATAAACAGATGTTTTGGGTTTTTTTTATTGCCAGTGGTCAAGATAGCTCTCATTGTATGTTATACCAATGTTTACAATCATCAGATGCATCGAGATAAGATGATTAAGGACAAGAAGAAGAAAAAGAAGAGCAAAAAGAATAAGAAGCGCGGCTCTGACAGCAGTGACTCAGAGGATGAGGAGAAGAAGAAGGAGAAGCTGAAGAGGGTAAAAATGCTTTTGTGTTTTTAAATTTGCAGACTGCGTTCAGTTGTCTGTATCTTTGGTTTGGCTCATTTCTGTAACTGACCTCCAACCTTTTTGTTCCTCCCAGGCCCTTGATGCAGAGGATAAACGGGTGAAGCACATAGAAGCAATAATGCAGTTGGATGAGAGGAAGAGGCCATACAGCAGCCTACAGGAAGTGAAGGCACCCACCGAGGAGGAGATGGAGGCCTTCCGCATGAAGCGATGCCGGCCAGATGATCCCATGGCTTCCTTCCTGGGACAGTGACCTCCTCCTATCTCTGCTGACTCCCCTAAACTCTCCCCATGGACTGTACCAGAGCAGTTGTTCAGTGAAAAAAATGTCTAAGAAAACTCGACTTTCTCTTATAAACTTGGAACAGGAGCCTGTTGTTCAGTTGCAAATGCTACAGAAACTGTGTGCAGTGTTTTGTTAATTTCATTTTGCAAATGATTGCACACTACCAGTTAACATACCATAGGACAATAATGATGTGTGCTTTAGTTTGTATTTACCCATTTTCACTGAAAGAAAAATGTAAAAATGAAAACTTCTGTAGATTTTTTAAATTTATTTGTCAAATACAAAATGGAGTTGCCCTCAGTCTTTACAGTAATTTTAGGAACTACTTTTACTGGGATTAATGCATTTTTATAAATAAAACATTTGTCTGAATATACTTTCGTTTAAAATTGTTTTGCTTTACAGGAACAATGTTCAGTCAATGTACAATCATCAGATGCATCAAGATAACACCACCAACATCACTATAAATGTGCTAGTGTTAGCATGCAGTTCATTTTCAACTGGTTTCCTTTGACAGTTAAAGACGTCCTTCCAGCAATGTTTTACGACATTAAAAATACTCTGCTTTGAGTTTTAATTTGTGTCTTTATGTAGTTTCCCCAAAAAAGTTCAATTACCTGGTTAAAAGTTCTTAAAATGATATCTACTTCCTATCCCTTGTTGAAAAATCCAGTGTCTGTGAATATGCTAATATGTGTAGTTTCAAATGTTAGTGTATAAGTTGCATATTGAACAGTGATGGGCTCAGGGTGTCATTCAGTTTTTTCACCAGCTTGATATATTATCATTCCATATCTGCCTTCTTTGATTGTTAAAGCTAATCATACTGTATGTGCAGGTCAGATATGAACTGATGGTAAGACTTTTGTGTGATCATTTGTCTTTATTTACTAATGTTGTCTCCTAGAAACCTGCAGCACAAAAACAAGTTATGTAATTTCTCTTCACATGTTTCCAGTTAAAGGTGAATACAGTAGATTGCTAAACACAAAGCACCGTCTCACCCAATAGCTGGAACATTTTTATTGGTCTCTCAGCTCTTGGCTCTGCTCAGCACAGCAATAAACACAAACCCGTCTGGTAATATTCATATTCATACCCTGCTGCAGACCACCGTGTTCTATTAATTTTGCACTTGTAACTTTAAAACCTGTCTGGGACTATTATTATTTAGAACACACAAAGCTGGAACTTTATCATGATTATACTTTTCATGAAGTCTGTTATGTAATATCCTGTTTTCCCCTTAGCATGAGTTCGTGAACAAGTAAAGCGTCACCACTTCAGCTGTGCAATACTGTTGCACTGACTTGAATATGACATCATGGTGAAAGTATTTTTTGGCAGTGTACTTGGTGTACAGGGCGGATGTTATGGACTATGATTCACTGGGCTGCACATTTCTCTGCTGTGCGTCTCTTGGAGAATGCCATCTCAACCGATTATTGGAAAATCATGTAGGAAAGTGTGCGCTCACAGGCAGAAAAAGGACTTGGATAGAGGTGAAAATGCCCATGGGTCATAATTTCTCATCTGGTGAGTTGTTTATCTACGTTTTCCAAACGGCTGATACACTCCCTTTGCAAAAACATGCTGTAAGCTGAAATCTTTGCTTGTATTTAACCTGCGCATGATTGTAGCATCATATTTCTTTGTGCATGCAGTCAAAGCCCAAAACAGACTACACTATGAAGATAACTCTACATGTTTTACACTGGATTACAGCTGTAGATAGTATGCATGTACAGTTTCGTGTTTTATGTTTACAGACATTTGCATCATGTGACTGAGACTGGCACACAAAACCCAAATCAAATATATTGTTGTAAACAATTATTTTCCCTGTTCCTCTTGTGACTCTGCAGTGACCAACATGGTCCAGATCTGTGTGATGCTCTGTTTGCTGTCAGTTGTCGTCTCCCAGTCGACAAATTCCTCATCCAAGAAAGGTCGCAACATCACCATCCACTCCTCCCAGCTGGTCTGCAGTGTGCCAGGTCCAGAAGGGCCTGCAGGGAACCCAGGAGTCCCTGGATCACCGGGGGCCATGGGACCCATGGGGCCCCCAGGGAAGGATGGCCCGGATGGGAAGGATGGGGAGAAGGGAAACAAAGGAGATCAAGGTGGTTATCTACTCACTCTTATCTATCATCATATTTGAATCAGTCCTTCCATTTCCCTTTATCTGTTGGTCTGCTTCTCCAGCAGAGCTCCAAACTCCAACATCCTCAGGGTCAGATCTTAACTTCTGGTTCCCTTATACGTGGGAGTCCCATTGGCCAAGACTAACAGATATAGAAACTCTTTCATAACCTCAGCTCTCTGCCCTTTGCTGACAACCTATTGTTCTTCGGGAACAAATGAAGTTTAATGAAAGGGCAACAGCGTCCTATCAGGGTATGATAAAACTGATTCAGGAGCTGTTCTTTGAACTTTTTTTCAACATTTGTGATCAGTAAGTCATGTCTGAATTTATTGCGTTAAGCTATAAGAATTGTCATAATTTTACCACTGTTGTCAGGTGACCCAGGGAGGACTGGGAACCCTGGCAAGCCAGGTGTGAAAGGCCGTGAAGGAGTTATCGGGAAGGCTGGACCTCGGGGACTGAAGGGGCAACGTGGAACACCAGGGGTGGCTGGAAAACGGGGACCAAAGGGGGAGCTGGGTGACACAGGCCAGGAAGGAGCTCCTGGACGCTGCAATTGTGGCAGTGCAGCCCGCTCAGCCTTCTCTGTGGCAGTGACAAAGAGCTACCCTAAAGAGCGAATGCCCATCCGCTTCAGCCGGATCCTGCTGAATGAGGGGAATCACTACAATGCCAGCAGTGGGAAGTTTGTCTGCGCTATACCTGGAGTCTATTATTTCACCTATGATATCACTCTTGCAAATAAGCACCTGGCCATCGGGCTGGTGCAAAATGGACAGTACAAGATCAAGACATTTGATGCAAACACAGGGAACAATGATGTGGCGTCCGGTTCTACTGTTCTCCACTTGCAGCGGGCAGACCAGGTCTGGCTGCAGATCTTCTACTCTGAACAGAACGGTCTCTTCTTTGACCCTTTCTGGACAGACAGCACATTCACTGGCTTCCTCATCTATGCTGACCAGGAATTTCTCAATGAAGCTGATAGAAAAGCAAATTCCCAGGATGACAGTTAATACTGTAATCCTGAAATATCCTTGTTTTGATTTTGTCATTGACTTTAATTAATATCAAAATGTTATGAAAAGATTGCTCCAGCTCCACAGTTGAAGGCTTCAGTGAAGTTCAGTTGTTGAACAGGTTCTGACACCAGGGGGCGCACAAGTAGACAAGTAATTCAACTACATTTGGGAAACAACTTAACAATGCTATATCACTTACTTTCTGATAGAAATCTTTTTAAAAATTGTCCAAGACATAAGTGAATTCTTTTCAATTCCCTTTGTTTCCCTTCTTTAATTCAGCTCAGAGGAGCCTTAAGATTGCTTAAGAGTTTTACTAGTGGCACAGAGTCATCTTCTGTGATGCAATCAAATTTCTATTCACAAAACAAAACTGAAATCAATACAATATTGTATATTACATTTACAGAATTATGGACACCTGAGCATATAAGTTAATGGGTTTGTGTATACTATTTGATTCTCTAAACTTGACGAAACCAAGAAACTGCCTCTATAAGAAGTTTATAATTATTTAGTTTAGTACTAATTGCTTGATAAGTTGATTATTTTGGGGGGTGGGGGGACTTTAGAATTAATTAAGCAATTAATATTTTTACCCTTCCTTTTTGACATACAGTGGTGAATTAAAATTTTGTTTTAACTAATAGCAGCTAACATATTCTTAGCATGCATTATTAATACAATACTACCACTGGGTGATTGTGAGAAGATATCCTGCATGACCAGAAATAGTTTAATGTAGCCATTTTTAATTTGATGCATTTAAAACAATAAGAGGCCTGGATGGAGAGAGAAGACATAGAGATAGCTTCTGTATGTGCTACATCTCTTGTGTTGTTGTTCTGTTTGTGTAACCTGATTTATTTAATCATTTATATGCTTTATCTGTCACACTTATGATGTGAAGCTCTGGCACCAAGACTGGTTTGCAAACTAATTGTGATATGTCACCAAATCATTCTCATACAAACTTAAACTGTGAATGTGAAAACAGCCTTCTTGTGTCAAACTCTGCACATCCATCATTTTACACAGCGAAACTCAAAAATCAAAGTCAAGTAAGAATAAAGAAAACATGTTTAAATGAGCTCTTAGCTTTTTCATTAGCCAGATCAAATACTGAAATTTTCTACAGTGGTTATTTATGATGGATATGGAAGCATTGCATGAAATAAGAAAAGGAATACTATTTTCTTTGAATATTTGTAACAGCTGGATAATTTTGTGCTTTATTCTGCTCATTGCTGTTACCTTCCTGTCTGCAGCTTTTGGTGGTATGGCTTTCTTTAGCATCATTTCAAAACCTGTCTAGAAAAATAACTTCTTTGTCCATGTAAATGGTGGCCCTTGGCATTAATCATTCAGTCAATCAAACTTTTGGTGCAGAGGCTTGGTTTTAAAACTAGGCTAATTTATAAATATGCTAATTAGCAAGTGTTAAACCCTTATAATAAGATAAAAAACCGGGACAATAAGATAATGGTGTAAAGAAAATAGGACATAATTCACATGTATATAAATAAAATGCTAATATTTTGCTCAAGCGTTTGTAGTTCTGTCGCTGACCTCTGAAGGACTACAACTCCCAGGCTGGAGGAGGGCCCTTCACGTCGGCCGCACGAGCCTCGCACCGCAGCAGCAGCAGCTGGTGCAGCCGAGGAGGCGACTTTGTTACCGCGGAGCCACCGGAGAGGAAACGGCTGAACGAAATCTCTCGGAAAAAGTGTCAACAGTTTGGGGGAAACGGCTCGACCAAACGTCCGTTGCCCGGATTTGGCGGTGGCAGCTGTTTTACGAACTTGTCAGAGGATTTGAACTTTGTCTTTTGGCCGAAAAAAAGAGGTCTTTCTCAAAGTTGAGCCGAAGAGTTCTTCTCTCATTCAGGATGTCGGACTGAGACAAAGGGGTCTGGGGGGCATTCCCGTCGGAGCGGTGAGTGGCACATGTAATAACCACCGAGATGAAAAGTTCACAAGGTTACTGTCCTGTAGGACGAACGGGTTGTGTTTGTGCGGAGATGTCTAGCTTATTCACTGTGTGCCGTTTTTGTTTTTAAACGAGGCGACTGTTTCTGGGCTCGGTGGACAGTTAACTTGTGTAGCCTCACTGTTTGGCCGCTGTCTCGTGGTGCGGACGCGTTTTAGATGATAACCAAAGTGCAGGATTTGTTAGTAATTTATCGTTACAGTGAACAACCAGACCAAAAGTGGCATTAATGAAAGGCTGCTTTGATTCATTTGACCTATAGCGTGGTCGAGCGGGCATTTAACTGAGCCATTTAAATTCCCGAGCAGAGAAAATGGCCTATGCAGGGGGAGAGACCTGTGCTGTGTGATTAGCAAGATGTTCAAAAACTTTATCAAAACGACCAGATTTCTCCGAAATAACCGCCTTGCTCTGATTGACGATACAAACACCAGCCTGTAGTTGATCAAATCTTTAAAATCGATTTTAATGAACAAATTTACAGAATAACTTTAGTTCAGCTTGATACTACTGCTATATCTGCCAGTCAACAGCCTGTTTGAAAACTATACTATACATTTTCTAGTTATCCTCACCTTTCTTTGCCCAGCATGCCACTCTGTTGAAGAGTTTGAACTTTGTCTTGTTTTGGACACATCTCTCTCAGCAGGTAAAACTTGATTCTTGAAGTCCCCTCTGGATGGGAAAGATGGAGAGGGAGTTGCAATGGTGGAAAGGACAGCTAGCTGCAGATATCCATCAATCCCTCCGCATCAAGGTGAGCCTGACATCATTACACTCTGCTTTATTTTGATGGGAAACTCATTGTTTATGAGCAGTACAGTATGAGCTAAACATGTTTTCAATGTGTGTGTTGAAGATTTACATTAAAAATTAGTAAATGACTTATTGTCTGTACAGCTTTACTATCAACAAACAGCAACTTGAAAATCGCAGTGTGTTGTACTGTATGTTACTGTATACCTAAAACAAAAGACAAATGAGTAAAGCTAAATGGCTAGCTGATTAATCAATTGATAAGAGCTGCAATGATGCAGCTCTTATCAATTACACTTGACTACAGTTAATTGGTAACAATTTTAATTATTGGTTAATCGTTAAAGTAAATTTTAAAGCAAAAATGGCTAAAATTGCTTTTTGCTATCCTCTCAAATGAGAATATTTTCTGGTTTTCTTGTTCTTTCATTGAAGTAAAATAAATATCTTTGGCTTTTGGACTGTTGGTTGGACAAAACGAGACATTTGTAAGACCATCACTCAAATCGTGATGGTCATTTTAACTGATGAGAAAATAATCACTTCATAATTAGTTGATACTGAAAATAATCATTAATTGCAGCCTTACGATTAATGGAGCAATGGAAAATTAAGTGAATTGTGAATGGCATTTTAGCTGTTTATGATTAATCAAGAAAAAATAAATAAGACAGTCAAAACACTCTGAACCAGCAGGCCTGTGTTGATTATTCCACATATACTGCACAATGTATTGAAAGTTGGGAGGAAAATATAATTACACAGTCCTGTTGTCTATTTAAACATGATCTAAATTAGATTACATGGAGGAGTTCAGGCTCATTAATTAAGAATGTCTTAATTAACCTCGAAGCGCGATCATATTTCATCCCACGTGTCACTTTAATGGAGACATCTGTCACTTGACTGGCATCTTCGAGCTGAGGCTCTTCTGCCAGCTTCACAGTGAGGGAGATGAATACAGATCAGGTTTGAGACATCAGGTGCCTGGATGTGCGAGAGGTTATATCTGTATTGGTGGAAATGAGGACTGCAGTGAATCAGATGTTTGTGAGCCTTACAATGAGTCATTCACTTACACACAGTTTGATTCAGTTTGTTCGTGCTGGACAGTGTCTGACTCAGAGTGAGCTGTCAATTAGACTGAAAATCTGTGCGCAGAGCTGGAAACTAAACAACACACTCACTCTTTCCTTGTGTACTATAATGAAAGAGAGAGATACTGTCAGTCTAAATTTTAGGTTTTGATCTCCTTATATCAGCATTTTTGGTTAAATCCCAAGCAACAGGCTCACCACAGTATAGACTATATAATGTAATGTCCTCATCGTAAATGCTACATATGGTGAATTGAAAAATGCTTGAGACTAATTTTTTATAGAAATAGGATCACTTTATTTAGGTACCTGAAGTAAACAACAACATGATATTTGTCTCAAAGTTGGCTACAATAAAACTGCTTGTGTTTTAAATTACAGTCACTCTTCCAGGCCTTCCAGAGTTTTTCCAGTTTCTTGATGGATATCTTTTGATAGTGTGAGACATCAAGCGCAAATATACCAAAAGAGTTTTTGGCTTTTTTCCAAGAAGACATTTTTTTTCATACCGCAGAGGAATATCCGCTTGATTTTCTTCTGCCATAAGCTTACTTTTATGTCCTTGTGGTGACAGCAGGGTGTCTGATTGTTACGCTAAAGACTGAAATATTTTTATTTATGGACTTATGAAAATTCAAGATCATGGATTTTTATATGCTCTTAATCAATGAATCGTTTAGTTGATTGATAATTAGGATAATAATTGGGACAATGAGGCAAAATAAGATATAATGGAATATGATAGATTTCAGCAGAGCTACAGTGCACTGCTTGATATGAATCAATAGTCCAAAATTAAATTTAATAATCAAATCAATTGTCTATAAAGATACCAAACATTTACTTTTTATTCAGCTTATCAAATGTGAAAAATTGCTGCTTTTCTTTTCACCATTATGCATTGAATACATTTGGTCTATTGGTCAGACAAAAACAGAAATGTGAAGGGTCACCTTGGGCTTTGTGAAACTGTGATGGGTATTTTCACACCTTTTCTGACATTTCTTGGATTAAACAATTAATGTAAAAAAGAAATATCAACAGATAGGCCTAGTGTTTTCTAATTTTAATGATATTTTACCAAAACCATTCAAATGTATGCTGTTCAGAAACTTATGAGTAGAGGTGAATGTTTTCAGAAATGGATAAGCTGAAAGCGCAGTAAAATTTAAGGGGATATCAGATGTCAGAGCTGTTTGTGGAGAGGCCTTCACACTTTGTTTAGATTTCCTGCATGGCGTTTGCTCCCCCACAGTCTCATCCAGCCTTAATGACGTTTGCTGCCGTGATAATGCCCTGATGTGGGAGATAGTGGTGGTGTGTAGCATGTGGCAAATTATCAGACATGCAAATCAGGCGGAGGCAGCTGTGGAATCCTTAATTATGGTGCGGGTCCCCCACAAAGGCACCTCTCCACCCACCCACCCCCTGGAGCCCCTCCAGACTCCAGCAGCCCCCTCCTCCTGCTGCCCTTGTACCCCCAGACAGACAGATGGACCAGAGGCAGAATCTGAAGCAGTGGGAGGAGAGGAGAGTTTGGGGAGGATTGGGTGGTGTGGTTGGTTGTGGCACCGGGGGTGGAGCTGCTATATGTGGATTTGGGAGGAGGGGGGTTACTGTTTATTTTTGGTTTCAATTCAAATGTCAGTCTGAACATCATTGTTGTCTTAGTTGTGCTCAAAATAAATAGTTGACAGTTTGTGTAAACCCAACAGTGTTTGTAGTTTTGCCCTCACAGAATTTTATGTTATTCAAAGTATTAACTGTAGCATGTATTTCTATGTTATGAAACGCTGAGCTTTAAACTAATAGTTTTAGAGCCAGCCTGAAGGCAGGCATGTTCCTAAACAACAGTCCTAACATGATGTGGATATTTTCTGTGTTTCTCCTTTAATGTAAGGACCCCTGACTGTTTGATCTTAAGGAGATTAATCCAGCAATCCTCAATCTCTTATTAAATCCAAATGAAAAGCCCTTGTTTTTACTCAGATTCTCAGAGACCAAAAAACATTTTTGAAAACAAAAACATTTTCTGGGATAAGCAGCTTAAATACTGACAAAGTAACTGCAGAGTAAGTTTGTACATCCATCACTGATTTTTTTTTTTTTTGTTTGTTTCTTACTCTGAGGCAGATTTTGAAACTGGAGCCTTGTGCTCGCCTGTTTTCTGGAGCTGATTGGGAAGATACCCGGGGCCGATTCAATGCTAATGCCCCCGAGTATCTTCCTTCCACTTTGAAACACATGCAGCTAATTGAACATGAATGGGAGATGTGGTAGGGGTGAAACCTAATCCTATCTACTACCCAACCTCCACCCCCCCACCCCCCCCCCAAACTACACACACCACCACCACCCTCAGCCCGTTGCACCAAGACCCCTGCAATGACCCAAATTAGCTCCTGTTCTCTGCAGCGATGGTGAATTAAATGAAATTGAAATGAGGCTGAAGCATAATCTAGATTTTTCTGTGGTAAATTGAGTTTTATTCTCAATATGAGTATTTCAGACCCATAGCAGCTCTCCTGACAGCAGTTAAACCCAGTCAGCAGGAGACATGCATGGCTCACTATTATTATGCATATTCTTTACAACCCCTGTGTTTCTTCACCGCTGCTTCCTGCCCACCCAGTTCTTCTCACCCCCTCCCCACTCCGATGAGTTACGTCCCCTCTCATCCCTCTTCTCTTCTCCCTCTCTAGGAGCTGAAGTTACCCGTCTATCGGGCCCACTCTCCGCAGATCGGCATGCGACGGTACTTTGCAGACTTGTTGGCCATCCTCAGTAATCGCTACCAGCTATGTCCTACAGCACGTCACCTGGCCGTCTACCTGCTGGACTTGTTCATGGACCACTATGATGTGGCCGTCAAGCAGCTCTATGTGATTGCCCTCTCTTGTCTGCTCCTAGCTAGTAAGTCTATGAACAGCCTTACAGCTTCTTCCCTAAATTCACCAACATGTTTATTTTATGTTTTCTGTAGTTTTTGCCTGACCAGGACATTTATTAAAAGACTAATTGCTCATTTTTCCCTATTAGGCTCAAGCATGTGTTTACATTGATGCTTGCGTTCTTGATTTCTTAAATCTAAACTTAAATATGGTACTGAGGTAACTTGTGTTTTCATTTTGAACAGCATTTTGACTTAACCTGTAGATGCCTGCAATGTAAATATTCTGAGGTAAAAAAACATACTGTGACTGGTTCATGCACAGATGGCACAAGGCCTATAACAAGGCTAATTCGAGTTATGCTTCGGAGACCATAATGTTTTGCTTTTCTAGCTACACTTTTTAGACTGATCTGATAGCCTGTAATGACAGTTTACTGTCAGCTGCGATGTTGGTTTAAAAAGCACAAGGTTACCATTGTGGTAGGATGACTGTACCATTGTTTTAGGAGAAACTGTTGGGGATTATGCTTGTGTCTGCAGAACTTTATCTGTGTCTTTGATCCTAGCTGTAATAACATGTCTGGGGCTGCTGCTGTTACTCTAGTCCTATGCAGTCCATTTGAGTTGAACTAGATTTCGTACCAAGGCCAAAATGTCCTCTACTCCAAGACGTGTTTTTTTTTTCATCTACTTTTTCTACTCTGTCATTGAAAACTAGGTTCGTTACAGAGCCCAGCCTGCCTACAAACCCCATACAAATCCATTTTGTCCTCGGGTTAATTCTTTAATGGCACTTTTCTGTGTGATCACATCATCATGATGTTTTTAGACCTCCACTGTTCAAAAACACATCAGTGTGCCACACCACTGCCCTGAATGACAGGCTCCTTCATTACAACTAACATGGTCACTGTACCTGTAGTAACACTTGCTAAAAACTACAGCTGCCAGCCTGTTTAGGAAGCAACTGAGTCTTTTTAAAACAAATGAATCTGAATTTGGGACCATTTTCAAGATTTACATTTTCACTAGTGAATGGGCTTGGGGCTGATTGCCATCAACAGTTTTGGTCTTTTCATTTGTCTAGAAATATAGAAAAACATCAGTCTAATCTAAAAGCACTTTGCAGATATAAATCAATCAAGTTAAAACTTTGTATTTTAAGTCCTGAATATCTTCACCTCTCTAGACCAATGATTGGTTGATATTATTCTTTGCTTGTAGTTGCTGTTTTTCTTAAGCTGTCAGTGTTTCTGTAGAAGTGAGTGAAGAAATGATTTAGTCCAGAAACCAGTAACCAACATGTGAAATATAAAGGTGTTTCTTTGTGTGTGTGTTTTGTGTAAAGCATGTGTGTTAATCATTCTCCTCCTGCTGATGCATGGCGCAGGTTGTGTGGTAGTTATTAGTGTCTCTGTGTCTGTTTCATGATTAACAGACAGAGGTTTTCTGTACATTAATGCAGCCCTTGGCATCATGGGTAATTAGACTAATGATAACGTCAAAGTGGGAGTCTGGAACAGGGCCCGCTCACTTGGGAGGGCTCAGCGCATGTGTGTGCGTATGTGTAGTTGCATACAGGCCATCTTTGCAATCAGAGTAGTCTCTGTGGTGGGATAAATTTGAATATGAGACTTGAAAGAGGTTTTTATTTAAAAGCCATCTCATGAGAATCCAAGAATAGTTTTGAGAGTTAGCTCATTGAGTGATATAAATATTTTCAGTCCAATCTGGACAGAGGTTTTTCTTCTATTTTGTATTAGATTAATCAGGTTTTTTTATTGAATCTTTTGATTTGTGGCGCTCAGTTAGTCAGGCTCTCTCCTCTTTGCTTTCCTGCCTCTGACTCCTCCAGGACTCTAGGGAGTCTCCGCCATGATTGATGAAGGCTTGAAAGGGTGTTTGATTCAAAGTTGTCTTTGGTTTTTATCTGTCCTGAGGTGCTTTGGAATCTGGCCTAGTTATTGAACGGCCTCCCCAGGTCCCTCTGCCTGCCTTTGACAGGCACATACATTGTCTTTCTTCAAATATTTCTGGCTTCCGCACTCGGTTAATTAATCGCTACCTCTTTTGTGCCTCTCAGCAGACACTGCTTAATCCTGTTATTCCATTGTGTGTGTGTTTTTGTGGATGCTTGTGTGTGCATGTGTTTGTTCATGGATGAGCTCCTTTTCATTTGCAGGAGTAAGATTGTGGCCAGTTTTTTAAGCCCACAGGGACTGAGTGTTATTGACTGTTGGGCACTTATTTAGAGACCTCTCTTTATTCCAGAGAAGCCAATTACTCAAAGAAACCAAAATCCTGGAAAATTTTATGTCAGCTTCAGTTAAGCCTGTTCATGTATACACTGCATATTTCCATTTGAAAATCAGTCTGCAAACTTAAGTTTCTATTGTGTTCAGTCCATGAAGTCCTGCAGTGATCACATCAGTCTTCCTGACAGATCTTGCTCCCTGAAGTCAGAGATCTTCATACTGCAGCTATTTGTTATTTTAAATGACATTGTGGATGTGTCTGCCAGGCAGCACAAGAATCCTATGGGTTTTTTTGTTGTTGTCATGCTTTATGTATTTTGTGAAGTTTGTTAACTGGCTCTTGATTATGACCTTTAGATGCTCTTGTGATTTATTTTTGTGATGCTACTGCAGTGACTTATTGTTCATGCTATATTTCACTTATTTTGTTCAGTGAACCTGATTCACTGGAGGGACTCTAAAACAAAAAAGAGCATCCTGTGAAATGCACAAGAAGCTCTGGTATTGCACAGTACACTTACTAGGCCCATGGAGCCCGGGGGTGGGGAGGTACTGTGTGCTGAGGGGCACCTGCCATATGCTCTCCGAGTCAGGCCTCAAACAAAAGCCCGTCAATGCAGGCAGGACAGCCAGCCAGACGCTTCCCAGAGAGGGGGAGGGGAGCGGATACTGAGGAGTGGAGGCGTGTGTTTGTGTGTTCATGGTCGAGACTTGCTGTAAGCTAACATTGCTAAATGAAGAGATGGTTGCTGTGGCAACCTTGTGATAAACCTATGGATTTTTTTTCTCCTGATCACTCTAATTAAGATCCACATTCAAGTTGAATCCATTTCCTATTCAAAGGGCGTTGCTTTACTGCTACACAGCCACTTAACTGACTGGGTTCTGGTGGTGTCCTTTTACCTTCAGCTGCCGGCTCTGTTTCCTCTTCGTTCTCTCACCTTGTCAGGGACAGGCAGAGTGAGCCAGTCCTGGGACAGGGCGGCCAGTAAAAGCAGCTCCACATCCCTGGGGGGTTGGGAAATGAGTGGAGCAGTACTTCAAAGGCAGATCGGCTGTTGATGTTAAACAGGGTGGAAAGGGAGGGAGAAGAGGTGGCCTGCAAAATGGAACATATTAGAACTGAACCACCCAGCAGGGTGCCCTGAAATGTAGATTAATAGGGAACCCACTTCCCCCTTTATCCCCCTCTCAGAGGTTTGACAATAATTCTGATGGAGCTGTTGTAATGTGGGGCCCTCATAATTAATGAAATTATGTAGAGATGTATCTATGGTTGTGAAAATGTCACTATTACTCATTATTATCAGATGCACTAGTTCATATTTTTGTTTGAGAGCTGTTGTGTAGTTGTAATACACAAACTCTAGTACACTTGTCAGAATTTAGTCGTATTTTCTGTTTTGTTGTGTAATGCCTGAGGCTCTGTTTGCCCACACATTCCCTGTGTCAGCCATCATCACCCATACGGCAAGGCGCTTTATACTCTGTTGACGGATCCCCCCAAGAACACACACACACACACACACACACACACACACACACACACACACACACACATACACACATACATATACATAGACACAGAAGCCCGGGTTTCTAGGATTCTCCCTGGTCACCCAGGCATTAGTATCAGGGGTCAAGGGTCAGACTAGGTCTACAATGTGTGAGCCGCCAGGGCCAGGGGTGGCAACACGGAGATTCAGTGATGGAGCTGCGATCAATTTCACACTACCAATGAAAGATGAACCAGCAAATAAAAGGAGTTTAAAGAGCAGAGGAAATTCCTCCACGGCTGTCAAGTCAAAAAGAAAAAGCAGGAGAGAACGAGGAAGAAAGGGAAGATTGCCTTAAAAGTTTTTTTTTTTTTTCCTCTTAAATCTTTATTGGCATCTTTTATCAACATTAAATGATAATGATGTTAAATATAAACAGTTTGAAAAACACATTCACATATGTTCATGCCGTCCTTTTGAGGGATTCATTAGTAGCTCTAATCTCCCAGTTTTGAGTTTGTATAACGTTAATTTTCCTAATTTTTCTTATAAAATTGAACCAAATATCTGTGACTTTTCGTTACAATTTTAGAGAAATTGCAGACATAATTTACTACACAATTTGTAGGAAACTAGTAATTATTAATAACACACAGCTCTTTTCTGATATTTCTAAAACATGTGAGTCATCTACTCTCTCTCCAACAGATCTGATGTCTATGTGACTGTTTACTTTTCATGATTTATGGGTGTTTTGGGCAGATATACTTTTTTGTAAGACATTCAAAACTGTCTGAAAACACAGAAGTGATTTTCATTTCTTTGAGGTACTGGGTGAAATTAACTATAATTACACGATATTTGTAAAATGGGGAGCAACAGAAACAAAAGCCTTTCTTTCTGTGTGAGAGAACAGCTCTCAGGTTTCCTAACAGACCCTATTGCTGTAAACCCCTCCCCAACCCCACCTTTCCCCCAAACAGCACACCTGGGAGGAAGCTGCATCCCAGCCTTACCTCTTCCTAACCCCTGACCTGTAACCTCTCACTGTTTACTCAACCTTTTTTCATCATCACCATCACCTGTGGGTGCTGTGAGAAAGAGTAGGTGTCCTGTAGTTGCAGTGTATGGAAAGGTAATTGTTGTAGATAAAAGGGAAGGCAGTTTTTTTCCCTTAATCACTGTGTCTCTTCCCTGCTCGCTGACTTCAGATAGGATCATTGAGCTGCCTGCATTCCAGGTAGGCTGAACTCACAGGGGAGGAATGCACCGTCTCTCTCAGGCCACATTCAGACTGACAACAGCAAAAGAGTAAAAAGGGCTGGGATAGTGTTTGCATGTTGCTGCAGGGTATCAGGTATAGTCTGTTAAAGAGTGTTGTTTAACCCTAATCCATTTAATATTATTGTTTACAAAACTTAAATCAGCACAAGAGATCAAACAATTAGTGGACTGAAAAAAATTCTGGTAATAAATGAAATTAAAAGTAATTAAATAATATTAGTCCCCCATTATAGTTAATTGAATATGTTAGAGGTTTGGACAAAACAAGCATTTTGAAGGTGCCCTGGATTTTTTTCATCAAACAATTAATTGATTAAATAAGAAAATAATCAGCAGATAAATACAACATATAAATAATGCTTTGTTGACATCCCCCTGTAAGATTTCAAATGATACCTGGCCCTGACACTGGATGACGTTGCATTGTGCTGCAGAAAAGGTAGAAGCAGGATAAACTTCTTTGTCCCTTTTTTTTCGCTTTAGCCCTCCTATGGCTCCTCTCCTACTGTGCCAACTCATTGAAATGAATGAGACCACTGTATTGTTATACAGGCTGTGATGTGCACAGGAGTCAGTTCTTTTTGCAGTAAGTCGAACTGGTTTGTGGCTCAGACTCATACCACACTTCTTTAGGTTCCTCTGAAGTTGCTTTGTTTTTCATTTTCAAAGCTGTTGGGCTTCCCTCGCTCTCATGTGCCCTGTCACCCACCGTATAAAACCAAAAGAGTAATCACAGAGCACAATGAGGAGATTGACTTGTTCTGTGTCCCTCTTAAGATCAAAGAGGCTGGGGTTGTGTGGAGATTGGGGGCATTGATGACTTTTTATGGCAGCGTCTGTGTGGACATAGAAGTCTAGCAGCAGACAGAGCCCTGATCCAGAGGATATGAGGGTGAGAGAATGGGGCAAGTGTGGACTGGGCCGTGGAACGAGCCCTTGTGGGTGTAAACAGCCCTGTTTCACTGTGCTTCCTGTTCTGCTGGAGAGACGCCATTACTGCCTGTCTGCTAATTACCCCTCTGGCCTGTTGGGCTGCAGATCCCCCACTGCCCTCCCCTCATGCTCTCTCAACCATCCCCTCTTTCTTCCTCTCTCCTGCCATGCTTAATGGCAGGTCGCAACATTAGTGGTAAAACTCACACTCAGTAGGAAGATGCCCCTGCTCACTGAGACGTGAGCATGAAGAGGTAAAAGGGGTCCATCAAAGACACCCACAATAGCTGTGCATTGTCAGACAATCCTTGCTTGCACTTCTAACTGCAGCTTGGAAACATCAATAAAGCCCCTATTTCTAATGTTTGGTTGCCATAGTTTTAGATTAGAGGCCAAGATTTACCCCAACAGAGGGTTGCTGTTATTCCCAGCTGGATTTATGTTCACAAAGGCGATACATAACTTTTTAATCCTAGCCTGTGGATATAATACCAAGTAATTCGACAACAGCCACTGAGTGGCACTTTGTCAGCAGGCAGCAGTGTGTAGGTGCTTATTTTCATCTTTATGTGTTGGTTTGTTTATATAAGGTTTATTTTCCCTGTCATTATTATTATATAACCACACTTTCCATAAAGGTGGTGAATCAAGAGTAGTTCTGGGTAGAGGTAGACAAATCACAGAGCAATAGCTAGTTAAATCAGCTTTTTGCAGAAAAATCATCTGTGTATATGTCTGATAAATAACAAATGTGCTTTATTATATTGTCATACATTATCTGTTTATACACAAGCCTCCACTTGTGGGTGTCCATAGGAGGCGTTACACTTGGAGATATATATTATTTATAAATGCAATATCTGCTTATAACCATATTATAGTTTTTGAATAAAAAATGTATAAATGTTTAAATACTGGCGATGGATGCTGTATAGGGACACTTAAGGTAAAGTTTTACCTTATTAAACTGATTGTCATGTGTTTTATCAACACACGTTTATTTATTGCGTGTGTATTTATTGTGCTTTCTCAAATATTTTAATTGCCCTTAAAAATTCAGTAACTGTTAAACTGTAGTTTTGGGAGTGAATTAGTTCCATTGCAAGTCTACAATGTGCCTCCACATCTTCCTACTGAAAGCTGTGTGTAGTCAAAGCACATGCTTTAGAGCAAAGCCTGTATCAGTGTAACCTGACACCCACCTCCTCGCCCTCATTCTTAAAGTTTGAGTAGAGGCCTGCTGGACCCGTGGATTAAAAGCAGAATCACCCCTCTTCATTGGCCACATGGACCCCTGAGGCCTCGGGGCTGTTGCTATGGAAAGGAGTATGCCTTGGGATGGGGAGGGGGGCTCAGCATTATGGCACTGCTGTAATGTCTGCAAGGATCTGGAGCAAGTGAGAGGAAAATATCAGGAATCGAACTGAACTTTTTTCTAGAAAGTGTTAAGCTTGTATAATCCATACTAAGTGCCCCACGCTGTAAGCCTATAGTAATGCTTCCCCAGGCTTGTTAGTGTAATGGCTTAGCTTTGTAGCCAGATGTTCAGTAATAGTCAACTTAACTGCCAGTGCTTAGCAGGCACTTGTTAGGTTCTGTGGAGCTGGAGTAAGGCTCTATAGAACTGACCATAAACCTGCTGTATGTGGCTTACATAAAAGAATGAATAAAGTAATTAATAACCACAGTCCGTCATCGTCAACCCATATGAAGATAACTGGGTTTATCTTTGGGTTTAGAATTTTAACTTGGCATTTAATGTTGGATGCAGATATTGTGAGCTTTCAAACTAATTGAACTCTACAGATAATTGTCTAATATGCTCATTAACTTAATTGTTAATAAGTGAGATGCTGTGATTTACAGAATACATCTAACTAATACATTAGCTGCAATTAATGATTATTTAAACTATTATTATTGTTATAAACAATTCATCTATTCATGGTACATATATATGATTTTTAGTTAGTTGTTTGGTCTTTAATATCTCAGGAAATAGTGAAAGATGTCACAATTTCCTAAACAATTAATTGTCATAATTGATGCTGATTAATTTTTTGGTGGTCAACTAATGAATTAATTGTTTTGGCAGTACAATGTGTTTTCATGGGATAACCACATGTGGTTATTTTCCAAAATCTTGATCCAAAAGAGCAAAACAAAAATAATGTTTACGTAGTCTTGAGGGCTTCTGACCCAAGATATAACCACATCCAGGATCCAAACACAGTATGTCAGCTGCTGTGATATCACTTTATCTTGTTAACATCTTGCACGCCAAGTCCAATATAGAGAAAGCATGCGTGTAAATTTGTATCTGCAGAATGAACTGAACCAAAACACTAAAACCTGCTGCATCTGTTTGTTTCTTTCCAGGTAAATTTGAGGAGAAAGAAGACCGGGTTCCCAAACTGGAGCAGCTGAACTCTCTGGGTTTTATGTGTAGCCTGAACCTGGTTCTCAACAAAAGGGATCTGATCAAAATGGAGCTTCTGCTGCTGGAGACCTTTGGCTGGAATCTGTGCATGCCCACACCCGCCCACTTCATTGACTACTACCTCCATGCCTCGGTGCAGGAGGGTGACCTATACAACGGCTGGCCCCTGTCCTCCCTCTCCAAAACCAAGGCTTTCATGGACAAATATACTCACTACTTTCTGGAGGTCTCACTTCAAGGTAGGTTTAGTTCAATAGGTGTTTCTATATTCATTGATTAGCATGTGATGTAAGTTCAATCAAAGCATTTATGAAACTCTTGTCTCTGGGTCCTTCTAGATCATGCGTTCCTGAGTTTCCGACCATCTCAGGTTGCTGCCGCGTGTGTGGCAGCATCTCGCATTTGCCTTCAGATTTCCCCAAGCTGGACGACTGCTCTGCATCTGCTAACAGGCTACACCTGGGACCACCTCACCCAGTGCATCGAACTTATGCTGCTGTAAGAGATACACAAGGCACACACACACACACACACACACACACACACACACACACACACACACACACACACACATACACACACACGCATACATTTATAGAAAAAATCAAAACTGAAAGGCAGGCGGGCAGGCGAGCCTCTCAAAGTGTAGATAGAAGAAAGATGAAGATGGATGACATTAAGGCCCTGTCTCTCTGTACTTTTGTTGCCATGGTTTTGGATAATACGATGCCTATTGCTTTAACCAGTAGAGGCTTCTAATGTTGTGTGCAATAATAGTGTGTAATTTAACAGCTGTAATTAAGTTGCACATTTCTTGGTCAGTGGGTGGCAGTGTGTGTTTGTTTGTCTGCATCTGTGTAAGTATAATTGTTTGCACATGTTCAGACTAATTGTGTGGGAGTAAAAATGGTTGCTTTAGACACATCTGTGCTCTGGTTAATGGATTTATTTGAGCAGTCATTTTTCTGCACGGATCTTTCCTTGAAGTATTCACACACTTTGCTTTCTCACTACAATACAGCAATGAGTTTAGTTCTAATTCACCACTGTTTTCTACATATCTATCTACACCATCTGTACTATTGACATTTTTTTTTTACTAATATTCTACATATTTGTATATTTACTTTTCTTCTTTTGATGCCATAGTGACTGAAGTATGTGTGCCTTGCCCTTCCACAGTGCTCATGACAACGACGTTAAGGAGGCCAACAAAACCAAATCCACTCCTCCTCACCGACCATCCTCCCTCCAGTCTCAGCCCCAGACCTCTCACCTCTCTCCAGTGTCGGCCATCCAGAGACCGGCCTCCTCTTCCTCCTCCACCTCCTCCACACCACAGCTGCTCTTTCAGCCCGATGGCTTCCCACACCTTTCCCAGCATTCCCCGTCCCTGTCCCAGCTGCAAGCGCTAGCTGACTCCCAGGCTCTTGGGCCTGTGGTGAACATGTCTCAGGACTTCTTTCAGAGCCACAGGATGGGTCTTCTAACTGGCGCTCCCTCCTTGACTCCTGGGGGTGGGTTTCCCTCCTACCCGAGCCTGACCTCTGGTCTTCAGCCGGGGGCCCGTGCGCTGCCGCTCCAGGGCCCAATTTCTGTGCAGATGGCCCTCGCTGGAGAGCCGCGACACTGTCTGAGTATGGCCTACAGCGGTGGCTACCTGGGGGCTCATCACACCTTCACAGCCGGCTGCTTTGACAGGTGACGCCAGGAGACGGAGAGGGATCACAAACCCCCACGGGAGTGCACTACTATGCTTCCATCCCAGCTCCCTACCCTGAAACATCCACTTACAGACCTCCTCTCTCTCTCCGTCGGCACCGCAACACCTTCATCATGTCCAACTCCCCCGTCCCTCTCACAGAGACGCCTCAAACGCAAGCAGAGGTCCAAAGGCAAGACAGACCCGGTGGAAGTCATCACACTGACGTGACAAGTGCTCCACTGAAATACTGAGGCATTACAAAAATGTTATTGCCATATTTTGAACTGGTTTTATAAATCTGTGCTATTATGAGACTGTCATCACTGTGAATGAGATGAAAGCAGCAGTGTGATCTAACACCCACCTCATTCAGTGCCTGTTCTCAGTTGTGTGATAGCTGAGCCATTTTTAGAAGTGCACAGAACACAAAGTATGTGTGATAAGGATATCTTGCTGCTTGACTTTTTTTTCTTTTTAATTTCTAATCCCAAAAAATGAACAAATTGGCTGGTATTTTTTCTTAAGCCACCATTTGAGAGATAGAAGAAACAGAGGCTTGGCAAGAATTAAAAAGGCTATGTATGTCGGTGAAATTTTTGGTTGTGTGTCCTTAATGTCAGCGAACATTGATCTAACGCCTGTAAGCTCTGTTAGAGCTGAAGGGCCCCTCTGGGAATTCCTCACCACATAAGACCTCAGAGGAGACGAAGAATTCATTGTTTTGCGCACAGCAGGTGAAGTCCGCAGCTCAAACACACCTGCAGTGTTTCAGTTTTTTTTTTCGTTCCTCTTCTCGCTTGTCCTTGTCATCTCGTCTCTCCCACCTCCAAAGTCGAGCCTTGTGGCAGAGCCGTCAAACACCCAGTGAAAATGTGGCTCTCATGAACCTGCAGGCTTTGTCATACTAAAGTTTTAATTTCTCCAGCGTCCACTACTCAAAGAAACTGAACACAAACTGATGTGACTGGACCAGTGTGGTGAACGAGACGTGGATGTTGGTTGTCTATTGTACATATGAATTGCTGCTGCCTTCTTATGAACTGTTGGTTCTGTGTCTGTGTTAATGACTCCAATGTTTACATGAACCACTAAGTATCAGGGACTTGAACAAGATTACTTGAATATGATGCCATTGAAACATGCCATAGCTTTTATTTATGATGACTCATTTTTTCTTGTTCTTGATTTAATTTTTTTTTTTTTTTTTTTTTTTTAATATGTAGTGTAGTTTTTTTTTTAATATCAACTTAGAAGTTAGTTTTCTTTGTACCCGTTTATAGGAACTGTATATTCAGGCTCAGGTTTTAAGGCTGAAACTAAACTTTAAGCCTTCTCATTATTCTGTGCGATTATGCTTTAAATCGGATGCTAATGCAGCATCTGTGGGGTCTGAAATGCCCCCCTCCATCACTGGACCATACTTTGCTTACAACTCAGTAACTGAATGCACAACACAGTCTGTTTGCATCGCAGTGGAACAGCCTCGTGGTCACTGGTTTCACACACAAACATCTGTCGACAGTCGTCTGTAATTGCTTCCAAGATTTCTAAAACTGCAATCCCCAATCTCCCACTTCCTGTTTAAGTATAAACACATCCAGATTCCCAGTGTCAGTTGCCCACTGGTTACCATGGCGATACCTTAAATGACCATGGACCCCAACTTCTGAGATGTCGTTGACCCGATTGTGAGTGAATTAGGGCTTTAGCTAACGATTGTTTTCATTGACGATGAATCTGTTGACTATTAACTTGATTAATTGTCATCTTTAACATTTCTCAAAGTAGTGTAACATACCCATTATTATATATCAATTCAAATATCTTTACCCAACCCAGCAGTCAAAAACTCAAAGATATTCAATTAACTATCATATTTGACAAAGAAAAGCACGACATTTTCACGTTTGAGAAGCTGGAACTATGAAATGTTACTATGTCACTGCCTTGTCCTCAGCAGCTGCAATGCTTGAGCTGTGAACCTTGAATTCTTAGACGTGCATCTCTCAGATAATACTACATGAAGCCTTCTGAATACTGCAACACTCGACGACTGACGACAGACTGATATGATCATGAATCATCAGATCTTTTACAGCTAGACATCTGTTTGTTTTCCCACCACTGAAAAGGACATGCTAATGTGTTTTTCAGTGATATGAGCTAAGATACTATGCCTTTGTTTAGCTAACGTTGATGTATAGTTTTGTTATATATTGTTTTTTTTACATTCCCTTTGTTTTCATTGTATTTTTAGTTAAAGCTTTTTGTGATTCTGTTGATGAATGCTGTTGGTGGTTGGTGGTTAGAGTTCAACTTGCTCTTTTCCTCATAATTCATGAGCAACTTCTCACAGAGGTGCAATATGTTGTTTTTTTCAGTTTAAACTGACCACAGCCATCACTGTCTCGTGTACACCACTGGTTCATCTTTTTGTAACTTATTTTTGATAATTGTGTGATTTGACTTGCTGTAGCTTGGTTTCCTTAGAGGACAGTGGGCTCTGAACACAATGAATATGTTGCATATTGCAGCCACTTCCTTTGACTGATAGATATTACTGAATGCTTTTGTCTTTTAGCTAGTTTTACTGTGCATTTTTCCGTCCCGTGAAAGGTGCTGATGTCACTCACACCAAACAACACTTGTCTAATGTGATGGTAATGAAATGACACCACAAACTTTCAATTAATATTTTTATATTATTTTGTACCAACCTGTAGTCTCGGTTAATGTGACACTGAATGATAAAAGGGGTTCTTTTATCATAATGTGTCATGGGAAAATAAACACACAAGTGAACTGAGTTTCTGCGGGGTGCGTTTCTTCTGAAGCATGACTGAGGTGCCTGCAGCTTTTAGGGAAATGGCAGTTCCCACTGCATGGCTTCAGTTTGTTCAGAGGGAGGATTATGCAGCTGACCAGAGATAAACCCAGCAGATATTTACAAACAATCCTCCGGCCGTGACCACATGCTATGGTAACTACTATAACTATTTCATCTTTTATTCCCACTCTCATAACCACGGCTGGAATATGACAACCATTGGTGGTATTTGTCAGCCTGCAGACAGTTATTATTCAACATTTGAGAAACAACTTCAGTCTCTCTTCTGCTTCTTAACTCCGCCTGCACAGCTCAATCAAAGCTTTCTATGTTTTGTGGCATGTTGATGCATAGAAATCTATTCAGTGATGGGGCCCTCTTTCACACACAAGACATTATACCCTTGTATAATTCTTGCAAATAGGCCGCCCTCCTTGTGTTAGACGCAGCACAGCGACTCTCAGAAAATGCAGAGCCATAGTTCTGTTCTCTCCAATGCAATAGAATATTTTTTCTATCATGAAATTGAGGAGTTGTTTGGTAGTTTTTCTCCTGAGTCGGGAATATGTAGTGTAACCACGTGCAAACCCAATCATATCAGCTCACAAATCTTTAATTACCAATGAGTTAAATAAAAAAAAATGACATAAAACACAATGTTCCTCCACATAAGCCAGATCAAAACGTAATTAACTTGGCATACAGATTAAAGAGTAATCAGAATTTTGGCAGTGCTCTCATGCACACTATTTACATGATTTGCGTTTTTTGAGGGGGATTCTTCAAGATCTCCGCTGTTCAATGGCCCATCTGTAAAGGGAGGCGGAGGGGGTGGGAGAAGGGCAGTGCTCAGGGCTGTCAGTTTGATAATGGATCATTCTCACAGCCTCCTGTAAGCTTTTGTATGTGGAGCTGAAGAAGCAGGCTGTTGGCTTCCTTTAAATGTGTCCTCAAGGAAGAATTTGGAGAAGTGTTGAATGACTGGGGGTGCAGAGTGCAGAGTGGGCTGCTCAATTTATGTCTATGGTGGGGGTACATGGGCTTTTAACTTGCAATGTCAGGGCACTCATCAGGTCTGCTGAGCGTAAATCAATATATAAACAGATATAAGGTTTCATTTATTCTCAGTAATTACTTTAACACATGGCTTGATTTTTCTCTTAGTCAACTGCTTTGTGCTTTTTTATTAGAATGGTTTATTTTGTTTGGGAATATGTACATTAAAACACCATATCAACAAATGATACGATTAAGGTCTTAAGGTGCGTCCTGCTTTATAACCATATGATTTTGATTGTGTTTATCGGAATCTGTGTCCAAGACCTTCGTTATTTCAGTTATTTGCTTATGTGGCACTAATTTAAGTTGAATCAAATGACTACACAGCAAACATTGCAGCAGGGTGTAGCCAGCCAAGAAAAACTGTACAATATACACAAAGAGTTAAAGGACTGAGGGGGTTAAAAAGGGCCCAGCAACTTATTTTTGCCCTTGGGCCTCATAACAGGTTTACTAGGCCATGTTTTTATATCATTTTCTTACATTCACTTGCTACATGAATAAAATTTTTCTGTGATACTTCAAGGTTGTTATGCTAACTACGGCTCAGTTGACACTCAAATAATGATACATGTATTTTATTATAAATCTCCCTTATTCTCACCAGGTTATATAGATAGAATTGTGGCAATATATTATCACTGTCAACTGAAATGATCATATTGATAAAAAGTTTTTTAAGTATTTGATAATGTGTATTTTGTGTTGCCATGAAGAACACATGAAACACGTGGAGCAAGTAAAATAGTACTTGTTTGTAATGAAATGACAGCATTGTGTCAGTTTTCATGATAAACCATTATAATGGGAATTATATGGCATCCAATGAATATCAATAATAGAAATGCAATTCCGTCTCTTTAATATTGGTTGAGGTCTATGATTAATAAGGGCCATTATCAAGCTCTTTGAGGAATTAGATTTTTTTTTTTCTTCTTGCTGTGAAAGTGGTGTTTCCTGTATTCTCAGTTAAATACATTATCAAGTTTTTCTCCTCATCATCACAGGTTTTCTTTTTTCCACCCTGTACTGTATTCAGTGATTCAAAAGTAAAAGCAGGCCACTGATTATCACCTTTGAAAAAGTCCAGTCTGTATCATGAAAATTCAGATTTATTCCCCATCACAACACATGACAGAAAATGCAAAAATTCTTCCTTGTGATGTGTGATGATATCACACATTTAAAAAGCCCAACTTCTCCACTTTCGCTTTTTCATGGTGAAATGCAGCATGTCAAATATGCTGTAACGATCTGTTACAGAGGGAGAAGCAAGTCAAGACTTTTCACTAGAACATAAAGTTGAAGATTTGTATCTCATTCTAGTAGGACAGAGGAATAACTCATTATCATCAACAGATTTCCACTTGTGAAGATGCTTCAGTTATTTAGCTGATAATATTTTATTTTCCTTTTGCTGTAAGTAGAGACCCATTCACTTTAAGCAGTGTAATAGATGAACAAAGGATGTGTTGAGGGTTTCTTTTATGGAGGAATGAGGATGCCTCTTAGTGGTGACAATGGAGAAGTGCAGTTTTTCCCTGCAGCTCTTTTCCAGGAGCAGAGACAATGGAAAACCTGCACAACAGTAGTGTGGACAGCACAGTGTAACATTTGTGAATTTAACTAATTGTGACTCTCGCTCACTTCACTATCGGTCGGGTTATATGTCCGTACCAACAGAGGGTTTTCACATTAAGAGTTGATGACACCAGTTTGTTCGTTTTGACTGGCTGTATGTTTGTGAAACCATGGCAACCACTTTGGCTATCCGGGGAAACCTTCACTTAACTGTCAAAGAAAGAGGATCAGCAGTAGAGGTTATCAGGATTAAAAAAAATAAAATATATTAGAAAAGCTAAATATGAATATTATTCATAAAGTGTTCTCTTCTAACCAATAAAGACTTAAAACAACGTTCTCCTTTAAGGGCTTTGGTCACACTTAAATAATCTTGAGTGTCTCAAAGGCTCATGTACGTTAGCTTCAGCCATTTCATTTCATTTCATTTCATCTTTTTCTTGCAGGGCTGTGGGACTTTTATAGTTTGCACAGGTGTTTATATTATCTTCGTGCCACCTGAAAACCTCCAGGCACAGTTCACATTAATCAAATATCTATTAAAATATATTTCACCGCCTAGGCCTAGCTGAGGCACAGCCCTGCCCAGCTCCTGTGCCTGCAGAAATTCATTTTTGCTAGGTAATTCTGACAAAAGGCCGACATCCCCAGCGGACATTTGACTTTAATTTAGTTTATTTGCATTTTTAAAGAACAAGACAAAGCTGCAATGAGAAGGAGTGTGATATGATTGTTATGGATCTGATTTTTGGAGCTCACTAATTCATTCGCTCCTATAGATTTTGAGTAGATTTTATTGCAGTGTCACTCTCAGTCACAGTTTCTGTTTCGCTAAAAGTTTGGGATGCTTGGACACTGTGGAGACACACCTGGTCTCTCCCTACAGCATTTGGTCTTTGAATGGCAAATTGATTTGGTATTACAGTAACACAGACGGGAATGTTGGTGTCATGGCTGCAGGAAACATGCGCGACTTATATGGAAGAATTTCACAAGAAACTTCAGACAGACTGATGTATTTACTCTGTGGCTTAACAGTGTTGACTTCCAGGGAGTGTGTAATGATAACCAAAGGCTTGATACAGACAGACACGGTCTCTTATCTTCATTTTGGTGAATGAATACTGAATGAATTTCTGTGGGTCCTTTCTGTAATCACTTGATGTGTAAGCTTATTGTTTTTGCATTATTCTGCTTAAGCTTTGCTTTCTTGCAGAAGGTTTGATGAGAGGAATGACACCACTCACAGTCCTAAAACGATCAGGAAGTTAGCGTAGCTTAGCACAAAGACTGGAAACAGGGCGAAACAGTTAGCCTGGCCCTGACCAAAGGTGACAAATTCCACCTACCAGCATCTCTAAAGCTCACTCATCAAAACGTTATATCTTGTTTGTTTAATTTGTACAAAAACTGCTGGTATACGTGCCGGACTATTTCCTGGACTATCTCCTGAGTGTGACGTAATGTTGTGGCACAAAACTGTCTTGAGGAATATATTAGTGTTCAGACAAAAAAAACTACCAAACAAAAAATGTTTATGTTCTGAAAGCTTAGTAATGGGTAAACCTACATGGAAACGGAAATGGAAAACAGTCTGCTATTAATTTTCTTATGTAGCTGCATCTGTGTGCCAGGAAAACATTGACTGCAGACCAACAATAAGAGACACATTTCTTTAAACGTTTCAGTTAATTTGGTTAAAGTGGTGAAAACAGATATCAGCCCCACCCAAAAATTAGCATGAAAGGGACAGAACAAAAAAACATATAAAATGGTCCCAGTTGCTGATCTTGTTTAGTTCCACCGTCAGCCGTCGACAGCAGAGTGTTTGCTTCGTCATGGCTTTTACAGGGAAATATGTGCTGGAGAGCCAGGAGAACTAAGAAGACTTCTTGAAGGCTCTTGGTAAGAGACCTACGCTTACTTATTTTAAATAAATGTATAAGATGTACTGGATTATAATGTGTTGATTGGTGCTAACAATATCTTATTTTGTCTGTAGGAATTAAAGACCTCAAAGACCCCAACAATGATGAAATTATAACAGGTACTGAATCTATCAGAATGATGATTTCAGGTTGACTAAAATTTTGATGGACAAAACCTGGAACAACAAATTTGCAATGGGAAGGAGGCAGAACTAGAAACTGTGGATGGTGACACATTCAAGGTCATTTCACATTTATTTCACTTATTATTTTACTAACTGCAGTTTGATCATCAGTTTTCTTTTTAGACCACTGTCACTCCGGATGGAGGTAAACTCAAGATTCAGTTCCCCAAATACCTTTACACTGCTGAGGTGATCGGAGACAAGCTTGTCGAGGTGAGCATGCACAACCTTACACTGGTGTATTGGTGAATATGTGTGAGTCAGGTGTGATGAAGAATCCATCTTTTTTAAACATATTTCCTTAATCTCTCTTTTTAGGTCAACACCATGGGTGCAATTACTAACAAGATGATTAGCAAGAAGATAAAATGAACTGCTGCACTTCAGGTCACCTGAAAAATGAAAGTTCCAACAATAATTCAATTATATTAATCATTCAAAATGCATCTCTGTGTGAATTCATTAGTTTTTTTTCAACAGCACAATATAATAAAGGTTGAAAAGTCGTTCTTCTGAGATGTGTTTACGTCATTCTTCTTTTAGCCGTGCTGTGAACGCAGCTGCAGTGTGTTAACAGGCAGCTGCATCTATTAGCTGTAGATGTCCTTAAGGCTCATTAGTAGCCAACAGAATGAGGAAAGACACTGTTTCCAAGAAATTTCAAAACCCTGCTAGTTGCCACTAGCGGCCATGCTGTTTTCAGTAGACCAAAATAGTTTGATTCCACTGATCAATAGTAATGTTCTTGTGACTAAAGGGCTAATAATAGAAGAAATGTCAGTATGACTTCAACTTGTTTTTGATTTAGTTTGTTTATTCAAACTATCTGAATCAATATTGCAATCTGAACAACATATGGGAAGAAATTTTCTGCTCATTTGACTGAAGGATGGCACATTAAATACCAGGAGGATCCTGTCATTTGTTCAGTAGAAACTGGCTGGGTTAATGTTGATACACAGACAAATGTATCATCAATGCAATATCAATGGATTAAGCTTTTGAAAAAATCACTACTGCTCATCAAAACATGTTTTATCAATGTCATTTTTATTTGTTCAAGCATGAAAACTGCTACAGGTGAACTATTTCATCCATGTAGAAATACAGTACATATCATAGCCTAGTTTTTCCAGTTAAAATTGAAAGTATCAACAGGAAAACACTGCTTGCTCCTCATTGTAGATGGTCAAGTTATTCTCCTTGGTTCAGTACCTGGGGGAAGCATTTTCATGATGTGTTTAACCTCCCGCAGTCTCTTTTCCAGTGAAGTGCATGTTGAGTCTCGCAGCATTAGATCCGTTTGCTAACTCTTTTGAAAGTCACACCCTTCTCTCCTGGAGTTATGCAATTCTGCAGAACACAGTGAGAAAAGACAAAGATGAAAATGTAACAAACTGCCACTAATATAATGTTACTGAAGTTATATTAAGTAAGTATTATGGGATCACAGTTTGAGTGGTTACTTATCTCACCATTATCAGCTTATCTTCAACGATCTCTGCTGTGAAGAGGTACTGAGGAAATTGTATTGAAATCTTGCCACCCTCCATAGTGACAGTGGTCTGAGGGTCACAAGGACAAAAGGTCACATAGGGAAACGTGTAGCGAGCTTGAGCTGTACGACAAGTTGCGGCAGATTTCCCGGTGCCTGTTATGAACTTACCTTGAATTTGGAGCCCATCATTGTTGCCAGCTCACATTCCTGGCCAATGGTGAACTTATTGGACCAGGTGAAGTTGGGGATGGTTTGTGTCCAGGTGACGCTGTCCCCATCCTGAAGAACCTCTGTTACCACTTTGTGGTCTGTCTTGGCATTGAGAAGCCCTGTGACAGAGAAGGTGAAATTCCCGAATAAAGACATACAACAAAGTTCAAATGAATGACAGCTCACATTTATCCAGATAAAGCTTATGTATCATTAAGAAAAATTCTAATACCAATTGCTTCCAGGAACTCTTCATAGTTCTCTTGACTCTCCAGCTCATATTTCCCAGTGAAAGCCATGATGGTGAAAGACAAGAGTTAAGGAAAGGAGTCTAATAAAAAGAGAGGAGTGGCCTGCTACAGACACTCTCTTACTGGTAGTTTTGAAATGCTGCCAAGCCTGCCTCTACCTTTCCTTTCTCACATACTGTACTTCACCAAGTGTCCTCCCCACGTGTCAGAAATGTCAGACGTGTTTTTCCAAGACAATTTGTCACATAGTTTTAAGCTACAGTGTTAAAACCCCAAATATTTCCCTGCTCCTTTCATATCAAGTTTTTCCAGCACTTCTGTCATGTGTTCGGTTCACAAGTTTGAACATGTATGGTGTAGTAATGCTCAGAAGATAAAACACAGGCTGTCTTTGTACATGTTACCAACACCCTTTTAGTGGAGGTCATCTAGGTATTTTCGGCTTTTTGTAATCTTTTTTCTTTCTATCTCTAAGGTTCGGCGCTGATTACCAACTTTAAAGTAGAAAATAACCTTCCATGTACTGAAGTTATGGTATTTAATGAACTGCCTGAACCAACTGAAACCCAAACTATCTGAGGAGCAAACAAACCTCAACCAGTACACCAGACCACCATGAGAAAAATTACAGCACGTGCTCCAGCAGTTAGTGTTTGAGCGATTTGACACAGTTCTCCTGTCTGTCAGTCTTGCAGGGCTGCAACTAATGATTATTTTCATCATTGCTTATTCTGCTGATTATTTTTATGATTAATATATTATTTGGTAAGTCATGACAGCACAGCTGCCAGCTTCAGGATTTAGAGTGTTTATGTAGCACATGTTGGAGAGGTATAACGAAAAGTTTGAAAAAAAGGGCCCTGTTCAAATTAAGCAAAGTTGACTAATCATACTACAAATGTCAATGAAATATCAGACGGATCATGGTGAGAAGATGATTTAAGAGGTATACATGAAATGGTAACATAAATAAACAAAAATATAAACATAAGAAAAACATAAAACTGAAATATTAAAGCTTTTTTTATTTACACGTATTTATTTAATTGTATGCGGCCTGTAGACCAAGGGGGGCGGGCCCTGACCTCCTCTTACCTCCCGCGGTCTTTTGAAAAAGAGACTCTTGACAAGCACGACTAGGACTATAAACTCTGGAAAACCATAATTGATGAGAAAAGGCCTCTGAAATCGTAAAACTTGCTTTAGAAAAGACACTGAAGAGCCTCAATCCGAAATCATTCAAGAAGTTGTGCTCCATCCTGCGGCAGCAGTCAGGGACAGAGACGGTTTAGAGCTATTGCCTGCCTGTTTAGTGGCTGGTGGAAACCCCAGAGAGACCACAGACTGGCTGATGTCAATTTCATCCGCGCATAGAGCCGTGAGATCGGTTGTGAAATCGAAGCGGATGGACTGCCACGACCAGGCAAACGAGCTCGGTACGTCTTCGCACCATTTGATGCAGAATGTGACGCATATTTTTGTAAAACCTAAACAGAACATTTAGGCATAATCCTTAAGATTACTTGCATATGATGGGCGACGATGACCAGTTAATCAAATTTAGTGCATGTGACCTACACGGCTGAAGTTTCGAGTAAATAACAGAAACATTTGAACATCGCTTTGCTAACTTTCGTTGTCGGGCAGTGACGTCACTGCAAGACTCACTGATTATAATGAATGTCTGTTTGCTTCTAATGCTCAGTAGAAATAAGGAAATTAGTGAGAATCGGTTTTATTTTGGAAGCACGCACCGTTTGGCTTCATGGATGATGACAAAATTGAATTATCAGCTCTATTTCACCACTCCATTAATTTTATTGGCTAAATTTCATGGACTTACTCATAAAAACACATTTTTATGTAAAAAAACAAGGGGGTCAACAGTAGGTTACATTGACTTGATTCTGCTGAAATTCAAAGGCTATCAACTATTACTACCTGTTTTTAATTCTTCTATCTTTATTTGACCCGTAACACCCCCCTGTCTCAGAGTTGTTGTTTTTCCCCCTCTGGTTATGGTACTTTTGGGACACAAGCAAATTATATTTTTTTCTCCCTTTCATACCAGTAAAAAAAGGAGAAAAAAAATCTTGACTCACTTCTGGTGTAATTTTGGTCAACCAGTTGAAAAAATTCAAATGGTTTCTTGAATCATATTCAGAAAATCTGTAAATTAAAATCCAATTTAATTTTTTTGACACTATTGTACTGATTCATTAATTTTATTTCCGTCAGCTACTGCAAGTCTTCCTGGTCTGGGGTTCACAGTCATTTAATGTGATACACACCTCATTTAACAACCAAAATGACAAACCTAATGTAATGTGTGATGAATGAATGAATGGGCTACACTTTGAATGTGGAAGGAAATATGTGTAGTATTTTGTTAGGCAACTCTTCTTCAAATGCGGTTAATCATCAATGAGTATTTTTCTGTCTTTCTTCCCTCAGAAGAGAACTTTCTGGATGAATATAGAGATCAGCTGATTGAAATAGTGATGAACATTAACCCAATTTTGATGACCTCCTTGAGCAGAGGCTTATTCCATACAAAAGATCTTCCCTTATCTGAGATTTCAAAACCTCTCAGGAAAAGATGAGGGAGATCATAAAGTATTTGTGGAGAGCTGGGTGAGTCACAGACAAAGTTCTACAACATCCTGGAGAGACATGAGGACATCTCATCAAGTACATTGAAACCATAAACACACAGGGTTTTGCTTTTGGCTTTTTGTGCAAATTGCTTTTTAGTGCATACCTTTCTTTTAGTGTACACCAATGTGAGGCAGAATTATCTACTTCAAAATGTGTGTTTCCATGAGACTGCAATGATCATGAGTGAGCAATCACAGCTGTCCTTTAAGGTTTCAGATTGCTCACTGTGTTGTTTCTCTGGAAAGGTTCTGAAATCTCCAGGATGGACGTGAAAGTGAGTAGATACTTTGCTGTTTGAAACATTATTAGTGAATTGTGGATTGAGAATTGCCTCTTATCTTGATTTTGAGACTTATGAATTGATGATTATATTCAAGAGTCAATATTTACGTGGACATAATTTGAGATTTTCTTTAAAAATAAATACAAGTCAAACTTTAAAAACCCCAGCAGATAATTTGGCAATACTTACCTTGTTTTGAAGAGATATCTGAACTTTAAATACTCTTTCATCCTGCCACTACAAAAATATTGTACTATTGTTAAAAATATAGTATATAGTGAATCCATAGCAAATTAGACTTTTAACCAGTTTCAGAAAATGTCACCCGATTCCTCGAATTTACCAATGGCAAGTGGGAGTGGTCCTGCTAAGGGTGACCGGATTAAACTTGACCCTGGAATGAAGCGTGTGGATGCTGAGGATGCTCCAACTTACAGGTAAAAAATATCCTCAAAACCATGTCACAGCAATCAGGAATAATGGAAAAAAAAACCTGTGGATCTTAGAGATTTTCACTGAAGGAAAACTAAGGTCTTTTTCAGTGCTGTTACCATTAATAACATTGCATTATTCCACTTACCGTCGTAATGCCTCATTTTACAGCAGATAAAAACAAGGCAGATTCTTTTTTTTTCATTTCTGTTTGTCTTGCAGTATTTCAGTGCAATGGAGACCCAAACTTACAGCACATTTTTTCCTTTCCAGTAGTCAGTCTACAGTCTGAAGCAGGTAACTGTGAATGCAGCCTCTCTGGTTTGCACTGGGTCTGTAAGGGGAAGGTCAGCTTCAAGCACCACTTTGGCTCTTGGGAAGAACACAAGGAGAGAGTGCAAACCATGCAATACATGCCAGGATGTCCCCTAGTGGACATCACTGTTATTTCTGGAAAGTTAGATGAAGTGTATATGCCACACTGGATCTGCACAGGTAAGCAGACATACTATCATAATGAAAAAAAGATGAAACAACTATGTACACAGTGAGGTGAAAATCCTTTCTTCACTCATCTACTTTATCAAAGCAAAGAAATCTAGTCATCACTAAGTCTTCTCTCTTTCTTAAATGTCAGATTGATAGCACTCTTAATTTGCAAACAAAACACAACATTTCCATTAGAATATCATGTTTCCATCACAATAATGTATAATAGTAGGAAAGTCGCACTCGTCTTTTGTGCAGATGACAACCCTGCAATCTTAGGCAAGTTTGCAGTCCTACACATAGGTACCAGTGGAGATGTTGTGGAACAACCGTCTGAGGTCACACCAACCCATGTCAAGTTATCCGAGCCAGTTTCCTCTCCAAGAGGAGTCCTGATGAGAATGGACTTTCCTGTGAAATTTAACTATAACAAAGAGTTCCTCACTCTACATGTTTATTTGATTCCTCGTGACCCTGCTCTACAGGAGGTTATTGTTTATCCTACTGTCACCATATTTATTCATATTTGAAAACACAGAAAATAAAGTTGGCTACTATAACATTGGGCACAATGTATTTTTCCCTACAGAAAATAAAAAACAAGGCATTGTCCAGTGGATACACAATGATCCCAAAGCCATACCCAGAGAAGTCCCTGAAAATGTATGACAGTTGATCCGGACAATGCAGCAGTTTACTCTCAGGTATGGTTTGAACTTTCTTTCACCTATTAAATCTCAGGTAACTGTGGTCCAGATGTTGCAGGATGAGAGTACTATAAGTATGTGACTTACACGGGCTCAGGTTGTTAATGGTAAAAACAAAATCACCATCACAAATATAAATGATTATAATATAGCCAATGGCTTTGGGTCTCAAGATGTGGTTGAAATATATTCTGTAATATCTATTTTTCAAAGACCATATTGCGTACAGAGGTTGTTGGTGTTAATTATTTTTAGCCTGTTATTTCAAGATTTGTTATCTCACTAAATTGGTTTCTTCAGGATAAAAAAATAAATAAATATAAGCACTTTTTAGTTATTTTCAGATCATGAGGATATTAATATAAAAACAAACAAACATGGCTGCAGTTATAATTCAGCAGTCTACAGTTAAAGCAGTAGTTTGACAGTATGTCAGTGTGAATATTTTGTAGCAGTCTGAACAGGATTTATACAGACACTTTTTAACAAAATGCCAAACTAACAGCAGCACTGTAGGGGTGTGTTCACCTGCTAAATATAATTGAAACAGATGCGAAACAACGGCTT